TCCTTTAATAAGCGAGCTAAGGCAACTGCTTCCTTAGCCCCTATAGTAAGTTGAACATACTCAGCTTTAGTTAATAACAGTGTAACGAGTGTTTAGCGGCCGGACTTATACAATAGAGGTCCGCCTGCAATAGTAAAGTAGAAGCCGCCTATAGAGCGGCGGGTGACTAGATTATTAGCCTATAAGGCGTTATAGTAACTAGCGAACTTGAGGTCGTCTTCGTTTAGGTTACCTTAGAAACGCATACTACGGCTAAGGGTGCTAACTAGGTACTCAATTAGCTAAAGAAGCGCGGCATAATGCTCCTCGGTCGGGTTGGAAATAAATCGTAACAATAGGCCGGCAGTGTAGCAAGCATCCGGCCGAGTAATTATTACTAGCTAGAGGGCTTTACTAACACCCTCCTAATACTAAGTCTTGAAGGCGGCACTAGCTGTATAGCCTTTAGGTGCGCGTTAAATGGATGTCTTAACGTAACGAGGCGCTATTAGAGTAGCTAGTCCGATACGGCTACGTATACTATACTTCTCGCAGAGCCTATTTAAGTAGGCGTCCTAAACGACGTGGATAGTACGCTTGTTACGGTCGCGGATAATGCGCATGCCGAGATAGTAGTAAAGGTCGCCTAGTTCTCGTATGTTAAAGCGCTCCTTTAGCAACTAAGCAACAGCTTCTAGTGCTAATAGGCTATAGGCGATAATAATTATATTATCGACGTAGATAACAATAATCGAGCCGCTAACGTGCTTAAATACACAGACGTCGGACATTATTAGAATAAAGTCTAGGCTCTTTAAGTACTTCCGAAGCTCTTTATACTATAGCATTGGTGACTGCTTTAGACTATATAGGGCCTTTAGCAGCAGGCAAACCGTGCCCTTACTACTACGATCTTTAAAGCCGTGTAGCTGTTTAACGTAGATCTTATGCTTGTTACTAATAAGTGCGTTAAGGAAGGCTGTTAGAATGTCGTATTGCTTAGCCTCCAGATCGTAATAAGCAATTAGGCTAAACAGCGCTCGCAGTGTAGAAGGCTTAGCTACTGCCGCATAGGTCTTATCGTAGTCCTGTCCCTTAACCTAAGTAAAACTACGGACGACCTAACGAGCCTTAAACCGGCTCACCTTGCTATTAGCGTTACGCTTGATAGTAAACACCTATCGGCTACGAACAACCTTCCTGCCTTCTAGCACCTCTAACCGAGATATATAAACCTATATATAGTTGTTAATTAGTAACTTGTATTCAGCCTCGTAAGCTTCCTTCTACTATAGCTAATATAGCGACTAAGTTGCTTCCTTATAGCTCTTCGGAATAGGAATGGTCTCTTTAGGCTTATTAGACTGTTTAGCAATGTAATAGGAAGCTATAAAACCCTTAATATAGGCTATCGGCATGTTAGCTATTATACGTCGAGTTGACCGCTTAACACTACAATTAGCTAGATAGCTACGCAACAGGTCTCGAGCCGACTTGTTGCTCCGTATCTTGCGCGTAGAACGATTACTAACAGCCTTAGCAGGTCGCTCAAACTTAGGCAACCAGCCTAGCTCGCCCTTCTTAGCGTTTGGATTATATGCTAGCTCTTCCTCGGCTAACTAAAAGCTATCTTTATTACTTGAAGTTAGTAGTTGAACTAGTTGAACGTCTAGAAGGTCGTTATCGATTAGCAACGGATTAGCGACCTTATCGGCCATTTCCTATACAGGTCCTTGTTTAGGCTGTTCTTCTTACTAAGCTAGAAGCCGCTAGACTATACTAGCAGTCTCGGCAGGCGACGGAGCCTCGTTGCTTATAGAATTGAACAAAGCAGGCATAATAGACTTAAGTAGAACAAACTCGTTCTTAGCTAGGTTATTAGGATTGGCGTATAGGTTTATGCCCTCTAGAAGCGACAACTTGTCGTCCCCTAACTTAATAAACTAGACATCCTTCGAGGCAACAACCTTGTGTTCGTTAGACAAGTAGATTATATATTTGCTAGAGTCTACTAAGCCCTTCGTATAACTAACTAGTTTGCCGAGCTTTCTACGAGCGTTAAACTTCTTACTACGAGCTACACTATAGTCGTAGACAATAGCAGTACAGCTATAGGCTCGAAGGTACTAAAGGCGTAGCTGCTTTCGAGACCAATTAAGCTCCCTAGCTACAATAGCATAGGGGCTAAGACCTTTTAGGGTTCTAGGTATAATATTAAGGACCTATATAGCGGAGGCAACAGTATATAGCTACAGAGACTTTAGAAGGTTGGCCTATAGCATTATCTTTCTCGCAGTCGTATACACGATGTAATTGCTAACCTTAGCAAGGCCATTCTAAGTTAATAAATAAGGTGCAGTAACTTGCAGTATAATGCCCTCGTCTCGAGCCTAATTTAATAGCTAATTTCCGCCGTATTCACCCCCTCTATCGAGGCGGTAGATTGGGATTAAGTAACCAGTCTGTATACGGATATATACACGATAGTCCTTAATAGCCACTACAGCCCCTAACTTAAGCGTGCTAGTATACTCGTGTCGATAGCCTAACTTAGCGCACGTGAACAGCGTAAAATAGCGCTCCTATAACAGACTAGGATTGGTGATAGTAACTATATCTATACAGACAATGTAATAGATCGTAGATAGTCGTACGCGTAGCAGCCGATTGTATTCCTTATATAATATAGCCATACGACAGGCAATGCAGTTGCGGAAGTCCTTCTTAGTACTAGTAATAACAATCTAACCCTCAGATTCTATTCTTAGCAGCTTACGGTAATGAATATAGCCATATCGTAGATGCTACTTATCTATAGTGCCTATAGGCACCCCCTTCTTCGACAGAAGGGCAACTACTTCACTATCTAGACTAGAGGTTAGTATATAGAGGTAGGGAAGACTATTCTTACGGTATGTCTAAGCGACAGTGACCTTATTGCCCTCCACTATCGTAAATAGGACACGCTTATCATTTCGGTAGAAACAACCCTTGTCGGCAAGCTTCTTAGTAGACAGAAGGTTAGCTACTAGACCTAGAACATATAGCGTATTAGACAGCTTTATGTTGCTGATACTACGCTCATTAACAACCTTAGTCCAAGCTATACTAACTATCGTAGCGTGCTTCGTGTTGCTACCAAACCGGATAGGAATGTAGCAGCCTTTATATTTAATAAGCAGTAAGGGGTTATTAACTATATGCATGCTAGTACCTAAGTTAACAACCTAATTAGTGGTACGAGTGCTAGCCGTAAGAGCCGTAGAAACCTAGTCGCTAACAGTGACTATAGTAGCGCTTACAGTAAAGGCGTAATTGTAGTTTGGGTCTAATAACACCCCCGGGGTGGCATTAGCCGCATACAGCCCCTAAGCACTATTCTAACTAGATAGCGGCTATTACTGTTATTGCTACGCAGTCAGTCTACGCTGCTGCTATTGCTTCTTCTTAGCCTTCTACTTCTCGCGACGAAGACGGTCTTCTTCCTTTAGATAAGGGTACTTATTATAGCAGCGGTTAGAAGGGTGCGATCCCTAACAATAGGCGCACTTCTTACGGTTAGACTAGTAACTATTCTAGTTGCTTCTACCGCAGCCTCGACCGTTGCTATTGTTATTGTTTCCGCGGCTACTACGGCCGCCTCGGTTCGAGTTACCTCGACTATTGCTATTGCCTTGTAGTTGCTAGCGCTAGAGACCGAAGAAACTATTATACTAGGCCTAGTTTAATTAAGCTACATTCTTATTAAGCAACGCGCTAATAATGTTGTTAAGGGTGCTGTTATCAATAGTGTACTCTAAGGCTCGCATTTGCTCTCGGCGCATCTATACGAAAGACTCGTAGAACGGTGCAATTTGTATAATAAATATATAGACAGCCTAATATTAGCTAATAGCCAATTTAGTGTCCTTTAAGGTACCGAGCTTCTTCTTATATTTATTATAGAACTTCTCGACATCCTTACTATCGTAGCGAAGGGTAATATAGTCCTAGAAGAGCATGAATTCAGTAGACCCACCTTTACTAGTATACTTCTTGTATAGATAACTCTATACTGCCTAGGAGGTATCGAGTCTAAGTAACGACTGCTAAATCTCCGACATATAGTTAGCGAATATCTACGTACGCGCTAACTAGTCCTTTGCCTCCTATTTATCTTAGCGGTCTTTAAATTGCTCCTGTGTTTTAGTAGACGACAGCTTGACTTTAGGCTTTAGGCGGGTCCCTTAGATATAGCGCTATACCTATATACCTTTAAGGGTACCCTTAGCGGCATAGGCCTATACTAGATAGTTCTCCTTATTCTTTAGCTTAGGGATGTTGCTTATGTAAGCGTTAGTAGTCGTAGGGGGAGCTATTACAAACAGCGACGGCGATGTTAATATAGAAAGAGACTATAGACTTGTCTTAAGAGGCGGCGGACGGCGCGCCTATATTCTAGTATAGCGGACAGCTAATACTAATATTAGAAACCGGTATAGCGGACAGCTAACACTAACGGTAGCCGACTCGAGTCGGACTAGCACCTGCTAGAACACTCGAGGGCGGCGGCGAGGGTAGCGGCGACGATAATAGTGTCGGCGCAATTTGTAGTAACGAGCGCTATCTACGTAGTAGTCGGATTAACTATTAGAAAACGTATAGAATGCGTTAGAAACGTAGGGGGCTTATAACTACTTGATGTAACTAATGTATTGAAGAAGGACTAATCTATATAGAAGTCCGAAGATGAAGTGCAGCAGTTGCAGCCTCAGGCATCAGGCACGTGATGGACCCTGACACCTGGACACACACTCCAAGTCATACTGTTATGCGTCCGAAAGATCGTGTCTGATATCAATCTCATCTTGCGGCTTAGCGGGCTTCGAGTTCCGTACAAGTATTGTCGGAAGCCGGGCGCTTCACACAATCCAGATTGCCGGCTTTCAAGACATGCGCTTCAGTGTTGGGACAGGAAGTCGTTCCTAAGAGTCGATAAGCGGCACCACAACCTGGGGTGTGCCCCAAACTGTCAGTTCTCAATGCAGCTGCTTCAGGGCGCTACGTACGTCCAAATTGTCAACCCCAGGGTGTTACGCAGGAACCGCTCCAAACTGCCACTTTCCAATGCAGCTCCTTCGATGAATGGGACAGGAAGTGGTCCAAATTGTCAAGCTTCATGGCAGGTCCTTCAGCGTACGATGCGGAAACATGTCGAAACTGTCAGTTCCCAAGGCAGGTGCTTCAGCATAGGGACTGGGAGTGGTTCCTAAACATGGGCAAGCATGCGCACAGCCTGTGTTATGGTGGGCCATGTCGCGAGACTGTGAGGAAAACCAAAGCCCGGAAGATGCATCTATGCTCCTTCTTCTGTCGCTCCTGTTATGATCAATCCTGGACTAGGAGTTCAGCTTGCGCGATCTACGCACTCTCGACATCAATGCATCCAAGGATCCTCCAGCTCGAAGCCTCAAGAAGGCAACATATATGGCAGGATCATTCGGCACCATTGGGTGGAAAACGGTATGCCAGAGACCTTCCCATTGCAGCCTCTGACAGCTCACATCGTCAAAGCACCTGCTTGCGCAAGCTTCAAATCCAACATCAAGACACCCGGAATCTGGATACACGCACTGTTGGTGCGCAAATTGGTCATCACAACCTCAAAGGCACATGCTCACGAGTAGGCAGAGGCTCGATGCCTTACGCCCAGCATACGATTCTGCGAAATACATTAGCCTCTTCGACCGAAAGTATGCCAAACTTCCCACCAACTTCGAGCCAGACAGCGACGATACATTCAGGAATCCGCATACCGGAACAAAGTTCATGGAAGAGACTCGCCAGGATGGGACGAACACAGAAGCAGGCTTTGACTGAAAATTTGAGGAGGGCATAGAGACCTGTTGTGTTGAACTTGAGACGGAACGGAAAGAGCGTGCAAACTACGAGCACAGCAAAAGGTGTGCGCGCGCTGCCCGAGATGCGGCGTGAATCGTATCCCATGGAGATTGAGAAACTGGAATATACAAGATCTGGGTCGAAATTGCTGTAGATTGCTCATGCTCTCAAGTAGGAATGAGCTCCGCTCTTGAAGTTTCGAATCCTTTCACGATCCATCATCTGCCAAGCGTAAGAAACGCCTTCAGTAGCTGTTGCCTACGCTACAATGCTGCAGCCTTGGATGCAATCCCAAAGCCATTGATAAAGCTTGACCGATTCGCGCTAGTCTTTGGCTTCGCACTCTATGTCTCAAGCAGCCAAAGGCAGTAGCATGATTCCTGAGAACGGCAGACCCGTAGTCGGGAATTCGTCAAGGTCCACGTCTTTTGGAGCTCAACCAAGAGAACTGAAATTCCTTTTGGTCCTGCCTATCGATTTCATGTCACACCCTCGTAGTGAGGTTCTTGCGAGGATTGGTTGTCGAGGCCGCTTCTTGCTTCTGCTCCTGCGTCGGAAGGCCGATCGATGATCACAATAGGATAGACCTCGCTTCTCGGTCTTCCTGATCACATTTGATTCTGTTCATAACTCGCTGACCCTTCTTTTTGCGATCTTACCCTTCGACTGTATAGCGACAGTTGGTGAATCAGACCAGATCATATTGATTCGCATCTCCCGCTAGAGCGTCCCACGCATTCCGGCTAAGATGTCATTCATGATTGCTCTTGCAGCTTCAATTCCAGCGGAAGGAAGCTCCGCGATAGCAGTGCAGGCCGCCTGTGATTATGACCGCGAAGCTGTTGGATCGAAGTGTGAAGTGTATTTGCACGGTATAGTGCGGGAAGACACCAAGTTGCAGCAATCTATTGTAATTTGAATATGAAAAGCACTCGTTGAATGGAAGAAATGCGAAGCTTTGTAGACCATGGCGACACGCTATGCTTGATTTCTCGAATGTGACGCACTGTGTGTACAGTGGTCTTGCAAACAGCAGCTAGCTGACCAATTGCACACCCCTTTCGAGCTGGCACCCAATGTGGCAAGCATTGCGTCTTCCTCGTGTAGCTGAGATCCACCGAGAGAGGCGCCCATAGGCCAGAAAAACTACCCATGCCCGACATTTCCGGTCTCGTCTGGGCTCTCTTACGAAGTCATGACAGCAACCCACCTCAAGATTTCCAGAAGCTCCAGGTCCAGATTGGATAATGTCATGATCTTTTAAAGTAGACCTCGGGAGAGCCTTCAGCTTAGACCAGAACCAAAGTGATCATAGGAGCTTCCACCTGGGAGCGTGCCACCAGTCTGCCCAGCGTGTGGGAGAAAGTGCATGTGGATTTTCAGGCGAATGGGAAGTCAAAGATGTCTGCTGGTCTGCGCAAGAAGATGAAGAATGTATAGCCGGTCTAGGGGATTGTGTAGTTGAGGAGGACTATCCAGGGCAAAGATTGCGTTGAAGACAGAGATCTAGCCCAGAAGAATTGAGTATCTTTATGGGATAGATGCATGACCTTCCGTGATCAGGCAAATCTGCCCGAGCAATTGCAACCCGTGTGCGCTTGGTGTAGTTGGTAATTATGTAGAAGCTGGAACTCGCACTCTCGATGTTGATATGAGATCCACCGCTGACGTCGTGAATAACTCGCACGCGTTTGCGTAATGCTATTGCGGTGGCAGTGCTGGGGGTGATGTTTAGCGATGTGCTGCTAATGTTCGGCCGGAGAGGTGGCGCAACCGGTATGTGGTGCAGAACCTCGAAACGAAGTATGCGGCAACATCAAGGCAGTAAGTGTCGATCCCAAAGGTAGACACCAACTCTGGCGTGGACTGCAGGCTGGTTGTGGGATGATAGGCAGCAAGATGGACACCAGGCGCCCCGGTGTCTACGATCCACGATCCACGATCCACGATCCACGATCCACGATCCACGATCCACGATCCACGATCCACGATCCACGATCCACGATCTACTATCCACGATCCTTGCGATACATCTTGCACCTGATGTGGCGATTCTGCGGCGCAAGGATAGCAGCAGTCTGACCAAAGAACTTTGCTACGACCCAGGTGAGAACCAAATGTGCTACGCAGTGCGTTGTAAGGGGTAGTCGTTGTGCGAGCAAAGATATTGTGTAGGGTATGTGTTGAGTGCTTGGTACTGGGGCAGAGGGAAGTCGAAACTGCGACACACCGCAAAGACTGTTCCAAAGTCCGAGGCCGCGCAGGCTCCAGTCCCAAACCTGGCTCTTGAACATGAGATTGGGCGCTTTCAGTATTGCTCTTTGGCTGGGATCGCGTCGTTGTTGCAATCCTATCCAGATTGACGAAGGTAGAAGGTTCTGTACGTGCGAGACTTGCGCCAACGCTTGATTTAGATAGAGATGTGTCGAGTGGCAGTGTTTAAACAAGAGGCGAAGAAAGACCTATTAAGTGCGTGCTCTCGGTTCACTGCTCGCCAATTCTCATGGTGGTACGTGCTGCGGAGGCTGCGGAGGTTCTTGTGAGGGCATGAAAACTGTGTATTCGACGAGGTGCGAGATCCGCCGAGGGCCCGGGGCCTCGCATGGAGCAGGTGATTGCGTATTTTGAGGGAGTGTAGCTCGAATGGAGGACCACAGCGTACGACACGGCGGTCTGCTTCACTGCGTTGTCTTTCAGCTGGCTCGGGCTTGGAACTTCGGTTGTCTAGGAGTAGGAAATGCAGTCACAGTCAGATCATATCTTCAGCAGACAACACCCAGTGCAGCTGCGGATTTGCAAGACGCACCTTGTGGCGGACATGACAATGTAAGCTGAACGCGATCCACACGTAGCCGGGCGTACGACGAGGAGAATTGGGTCGAAGTACCGATTCAAGGGAGTCGGGGATGGCGGGCAGGGCCTTCTGGTGAGACTGTGGAGAGATTGTCAGAAGCGTGCGAGCTCGTGATCTTGTCGAGTCAGTAAGCTCAGTAATGCCAGTAGAAACGAGCGCCATCGTCATTGAGCCGAGATCGTGGAAGTTCAGAGGAGAAAGCATACTGTTTGCTCATCATCATCGGCTCGACAGGCTCATTGTTCGGTGTATCCAGAACGTCTTTCATTGCTTTTTCATCTGCGAGGTAGCCTTGCTGATGAGGCGTGGATAAGCGTCAACTTGTCGTGGCTTCTTCCTCTTCTTGGGAGGACTCTTCCCCGAAGCCAGAGGGATGAGGTCGTCCTTCTCGTACGGAAGTGTCTCAGTATGAGGTGTTGGAGGTGGCTGAACAGCCGGTGTCGTCGCTGAATGTTGAGGGTGAAAAGTTGTTGTCTTTACCGAACGCTGCGGACCGACCGGGAATGCAGCGCTTCAGTGCTTTTGGGAGCACCAACAGTCTTCTCCAGCACCTCCAGGACCCATGTCAGCAGTCCGCTTGGCTTCTGGAGGGTGTTGGTTGACCTGCAAGCGCGCAGCTTGTCCGAGGTGTGTATAGAAAAGGCCGTCGCCTTGCTCGCTCTTGCGTTGCTGTCTTGGTTTTGCACAGCATTCATCATAACCCTAGTAGCCTGACTCCTGCAGCGAGATGAGATACTGAGGCGGATACGCTCCAGCTTGTCGAGTGCTGACAGCGGCGTGTACTGCTGGAGCATGTCGTCGTCCGAGTGAGGAGGTGGAGAGTCACTGTTCGGCGGAGGTGCCTGGTTGTGCGAGAAGCCATTATGGCTGCGGAGGCGAAGAGAGGGAATCCTCCGGTCATTATTGCTGACTGGTGTTAAAGACTCTTTGACCTGGTGCATGTTGCGGTCGGGCGCTATGCAGCGGAGTTTGAGAAACAGAACGGTGCGTCGCCGGTGCAAAGTCGGGATGTGGTCGATCAAACTACGAGAGAACGCGTGCTGTAAGAGAGGAGAGGGAGAAGGCTGGCGGGAGAATTCGGAGATGCTGTGGTACTTAACTGTCGAGGCCTTGCGAGTTATGCGGAGTCCAGAGAGCGCGTATGAAGCAGCGACTGTTGAAGTCGACTGATCGAGGTCTGGTTGTCCGGACATGGCGCACGGTGCGCGGTCATGTCGCTGTGCCTATCGCAAACTGAGGCCCGTAGCCTGCTTTCTGTAGAGCCTTTTTGAGAGAGTCGCTTGCTCACACAGTAGCCGCGAGGGAAATGATACAGGCTTTGTCCGGCGGAAGTATGCTGTCACTTATGGATTTTGCAGAGGATGTCCAAAATGTCAGTCGCGCCTCTTGGATTGCAGGATGGTCCAAACTGTCAGCAGCCTTGGAGTATCCTTCTCCGCTTCCCGGGACAGCGAAAACCTCTGGAACAGACGAATGTGCACAGAATCAGTTGTTTATTCAAATGCATTGGGTTCCGAGATGTATCCCTTCAGACATGCTGGGGTAGGGGTTCGAGGTTTTGACAGGCCGGACGCGTCTTTGACGCGGGGTGCCGGGGGAGCGGGCGACGCTGACAATTTGGACACACTTTCCCCATCAGCTCGGGCGCCCACTTCTTGGTAAAGTACGGAGCGCAATTTGCACGCCGAAGGGCGGATGGTAGGTTCCTATTCTACACGTCGCGACGATGTGGACGACATGGAAACCATGCATTCTGCGTATATATGTTCTCAAAATCATCAAGATAGGACGGTTTGGATGCAATTTCGCGCCGAGTCGCAGTGCTAGCTGACAGTTTCGGCACACTTTTCCCGATGCAACGCTCTTAGCACCTGGTCTCGGTGTTCGCTGACAATTTGGACACACTTTTGCGGGGTTCACGGTGAGACTGACAATTTTCACTCATTTTACCGACGCTCGACAGTGTAGGTCTAGCAGTTCGGTCGCAATTATCGCACCGAGCTCCCGTACGTCGGCCAAATTTCAATAGAACTCTGTAACGGGCAAGATAGTTGTGCGGTGTCAAGTAGCTCCATTGATCAGTTCTGGTCATTGCGCTGCGACTTGCTGACATTTTAGACAGGCTTGGTGGGGCTCTGACGTTTTGGGCGGCTGTTGTAAAGCCGAGTCCGGGGTCGGCTAACAGTTTGGGCGTACCTTCAAGTTGCTACGCAACGATTCCCGAACGCGCCGCGCATTCTCCGCTTGGTGGACATTCAGTACACAGCGACAACAGCTTCATATCGCATGAATTGGTGTGCCGCGCACCTACGATACCCGAGCGCATACTCCTCTGAGCAGCTTATGCCTCCGCGCATTGTTCACGCAAACAAAGTCTCGCCCGCGCGCCCGCTGACGCATCACCTCTGCTACATTGCAAAGCTATGGCAAGGACCCGTAAATCGACAGTCTCTGCGGCACCACGACCACGATCAAACGCTGCACAACCGCCAGCTGGACCGCCGCCACTACCCGACATGAACGCACAAACCACGCTCGCCTCCTACTCTCGCTCGATCGAAGAACACATCACGACAAACCCCGACAAGGCGCTCGAGCTCTTCCGAGAAGCATACCATGAGCACATCACGGCAGACCGCATACACTCAACGGTTCAGCCATACCTACGTCAGAACGCGCCCGATCTGAACGATGCGCTTGTATCGCTGGTGGAAGGGAAATTCCAAGCATGCAGCAAGCAAGCTCAAGCGCATTATCGCGCACTTCAAAAGCCACCATGGAGACGGGATCACTTGACCATCTGGTGCTTTTTCAGTTACAATGGAGATTTTCCAGGATACAAATTCGCAGGCGGTCTGCGGGACCTTTCGGATGGAGAGAAGGATTTCAGGCGAGCGATGGTATTGCTCAATGACGCTCGGGCGCAGAGGTTCTTGGGGACGGACTACAGGATGTTGGAGGAGCAGAGAACCCACGCCAGGAATCGGAAGAAGGCGTGGGTTATTGGTGATATCAGAGCTGCAATTGAGGCGTGGATAGCGGGCAGGGAGGGGAGGAGTTTGGAAATGATTGGGAATCGGAGGAGGGATGTGTTGGGGGAGGAGAAGAAGGAAGATGGCAGGACTACGAGATGGCAGAAGGTGAAAGCCAAAGCCAAAGACAAGACAGGCGGTGAGAGTGTGGACAGCGAGGGCGAGACGCCAGAAACCCAGGGACATGGGCCTGCTGCAGGCGCTGCAGCTGGAGATGGAGCTGGCAGGTGTGAAGGACAAGACGAAGACGACGACAACGAGAGACCAGAAGGCCAGAGAAATGGTGCTGAGACAGGCGCTGCGGCTGGAGACGGCAGCTCTGAAGGGCAACATGAGGACAGCGACAATGACGAAGACGGATCCAGCAGCGAGAATGATGACAATGATCAGCGCAGCACTGGCACTGGTGAGTCGAATGGTTATGATGATGATGGGTTGAATAGCGATGATGGGCCGAATTGCAATGATGGGCTGAATTGCAATGATGAGGCAAATGGACACGATGGGCCAAATTGCAATGATGAGCAAAATGGCAGCAAAGGCCGCCTTCCAGAACGCCTTCGCACGAATCCGAGTGCAAGCAGAAGCGGGAGTCGGTCGCCGGAAGCGGGGCGGGGCGGGCGGGAACTCCGGCTTTCTGGCAATTCAGACCCTCGCTCCTCCTTGAATGGTTTCAACGACGACATTGACGACCAATTCCCGACCAACGACGAGTCCGTCCTTAGCCCCAAGCGTCCGTCCACGCCGCGCACGCCTTCTGGAGACAATCAAGAAGATTCCGGCGACAACGACACCGCTGGTCCTGGCTTTCCGCCCGGCAACGACGCGCCTTCACCATCGCCTTCACCTTCCTTTCTACCGCTACCCTTACCGACACGTCTCAAAACTCCCGCAAAGTCCGCCAAGTCCAGTATGTCTGAAGCACGACGTGTCAAGCGAGCACGCACGACCATCTCGGCCCTTCACAACACGACAGGACTGTCGTTGCAGCCATGGCTGGACCTCTTCTCGCCAGTGCCCGCGTCGTCGCAGTCACCAATGCAGAGCTTTCTTGACGAGAGACGCGTTGAGGCCGCCATCAAGACCGCCGACCGAATACTGGCTGTCCTTCCCGCTACGAATGCCGCTGACGAACAAGACGACCGCGCACTCGCCGTCATCACTGCAGACAAGGTCGATGTCTACGTACGCGCTCCCCACGAAACATCAACCCGCGACGTCTCGCTCTTCTCGTCTCTCCACGCGCAGCTCGCGTCCTCCACCCCTCCGCCGCCACTGCCTATGCCTCAGTTCCTCCCGCTTGCCGACCACATGGCTGCCGATACAGGCACGCGGATCGCCATCACCGCCGTTCAAGAGCTAGTTGTGGACAGAATGCAGGAGGTGGAAGACTTGGACGTATGGCGTCAGTGCCTTCATATGTCCGCAGCGCAGGCTGCGACTCCTCCACGAGACATCTTCGATATCTACGTACCTGCACTCTCCAGCAATCCAGAGAACGCAATCGAGGGTCCCGTTCGGTCGGCACCCACTGCCATCTTCAGTCGGGAGTCAATCTTTGCAGCGATGGACTCGTGGGTACACCTTCTCGGCCGCCTGAAGCGCACCAAGCGGCAGTCCGAAATCATCCGCGAACGCTTGCGCAACCTTGTCGAAGCCGACCCCGACAACGACGAAGAAGCAGGAGCAGCAGAAGGAGTGGAACAGGAGCTCGTCAGTCTTCGCCGTCTGAAGGAGACCTATGAGAGGCTACTTCCCACACTCGGTTCCGGTGAAGCCCACCAGACGCTGCTCCAATCAATGCGTGAAGTGGATACGAAGATATCGGCTCTTGCGCAAAACAGGATCGACCCAGCCGTTGCTGCTGTACGGAAGAGAAGGGAGAGCATGATGAGAGCCCTTGCCAACAACATTTGTCAGTACCAGGATCAGATCACTGAAGTCGTGCGGAAGATTGCCGCGTATCGGCGAGCATGGGCAGATCTGGCGGAGGAGATTGGAGCTTACATGGTGGACGATGTTCGGGAATGAGCTCATTGCGTGCGAGGAATGGCAATGGCGTTCATGCGGAGGGTGATGATGATGATGATGACAATCATGATGCAAACACTACTGATATTGGCGAGAGTGAGCACGCGTGCAAGGGCATGACAATGATGGATGGTGGCGAGAAGACCATGGAAATGCGTGCTGGCTACGAAGCTGTGAGAGTCAGAAGAATCGACAGCCATGCTTCGAGTGTGTATGTATACCAAAGCAATGAATTACCTACTGCAATCTCAATCTGAATCTGAATCTCAATTTCAATCTCGGGCCACAAGAATCAACCCAAACCTGAAACTTACCTGGCCCCCGCCCACAGACTTGAGAGCACATTCCCTTTGGATCTTCGCCTTCTTTGGTTTTCAGTGTTCCCGCTGGAAGTGTACAAGAATCGTGGCGATGGAATGTGGTTTGGTGGTGTTTTACAGCCCATTGCAAATGAGGTACGGTATGCACAGTTCAGTTTCAACAGAATGAAGCGATGGAAAGGTCTGCCTTTGATCCTTACTGCACTCTGCACTCTGCACGAGTCTGAATCTGATTCTGAGTCGTGACGACCAAGGTAGCGGGATGGTTGTGTATGGGATTATAGCGAAGGCAAGGGAAGCTGGAGAGTTGAGATGGGATGAAATTGGGATTGGGATTAAGACTGAGCCCGATATTCTTACGAAAGGACCTCTTCTCTACGCTCGACCGTTATAGTTCTACGTCTTGCGGAGTGGGATTGTTCGGGTATCGGAATCGTAGTTGCAGCTTTTGTGATTATGTCCAACAATTGCATTCATGCTTTCAAGTGCTTCCTTCCCATCGACTGAAATGCGTAACGTACGGGACCACTGTATCGAAGACTTGCGTGGATGGTGCATATCGATTTCTTCTGCAGCCGGTGCGACTTCCCGCAGGAACTCGACGACAATCGACGAAATTCAAGACGAGGCCCCGATCGAAACTTCGGAACACCTTTTGAGATTCATGCCTAAGCTTGCTTCCTCCACTGCTCGCGTCCTGTCTCAATGCATACATTCTTGTGCCCGCTTGCAGCCTTCAAACCTTGCAAGCTTCCGCCATTGCTCGACGAAAGAAGGGCGTGAGACAAATGTCACTCGCAGGCTGGAATACCATAAGGCGCGAATCGTCTTCCCCACGGTTCCTGCAGCTGAATGTTGGTATAATTGCACAAACTTGCGGACACGCCCGAAGCTGTTGGTACAAGGCACAGAGTCAGTCGGTAGATATGGAGTCGTAACAGGAATCCGTGCCAGAGGTGTCATCCGCGCTGGGAGCCATCTTGGATATCATACTCGGCGGCAAAGACGCTCGCTCGAGCAGCGCGTTCGGCTCCAGGAAGTTCATTCGCTTGGGTGTGCTTCGTGTGCTGCAAGGTCTGGGACTTTGTTGCTGCCCGGATGTTCAGCTTGAAGAGTTGCGATGGCGGCGTCTTGGAGTACGGCCTGACGTTGTTTGGCTTCCAGCGGCCAGCCATTTGTATCTATTCTGGAGATCGATGTCCTTGGGATGTTTTGCAGCTCCGTGGCAACGCGAGTCCTACGCCTTGAGCCTTCATGCAATGAGCCTTTACCCCATCATCCTCCACCCCATCAGCCTTCATTTATGCTATGAGCCTTCGTGCCACCAGCCTTCATGCCACCAGCCTTTATGCTGTGAGCCTTCATGCCACCAGCCCCCATGCTGTCAGCCTTTATGCCACCAGCCTTCTTGCCATCAGCCTCCATGCCATCAGCCTCCATGCCATCAGCTTTCATGCCACCAGCTTTCATGCCATCAGCCTCCGTGTTATCAGCCTTCGTGCCATCAGCCTTGATCTATACTATCACCCTTCGTGCCATTGGTCTCCATGTCATTCTTGATGAAGAAAATCAGGCCTGAATTCGAAAATCCACTTCCAACGGTCTTGCTTATGCTCAAGAGAGGCGCCAAAGATACCCACGGATAGTGGTACAACAACTGGCGCATCGGCGAGACTGGACCAGCTATCAGACGTGTTGCAGCCACTCGGATGTTCACTCCTTTTCGACCAACGTCCGCTATGGAGTGCTTGGGCAACGGTGTCATGTGGTCTGCTCCGCCCACCATATCGCTTCTTGTGAAGCGTGAACCTTGTGAAGCGTGATCCCACGCTCTTGGGGTCGTACGTCGTCCCCATAAGGCACAAGAAGGCAGCCGATGGGAATGTAACCGCTGGCGACTGCACACAGTTGACTCCTGTAGGCGAAGAGAAAAGCATGTCGTTCTCCGGTACAGTCCTGGGTATTGACGCAGCGTCCGAAAGCAGACAGCTGAACATCGTCAAAAGTCCAGGGTATTACAGGATCAGGAGCAGTGACTTTGCCCAGACCATGAACCTCGGCCTCGTCAGTGGTAGATTTGAGCAGCGGAGTTGTTAATGAAGTACAGTATTCTTGAGCATGAAGGCGCGGATGACGAGGAACAGCAGTCATTTTGGCCAGACCATAAACCACGGCCTCGTTAGACGTAGATTTGACCAGCGGAAAAGTTGACGGCCTGTAGAATCCTCTGGTGAGAAAGCGCGGATGACGAGGCGAGGCGGTAATGTTGCCCGTCTTTGAAAGACGTGGCTGTAGAAACTGGGTTTGCCGCGGGGCAGTTGACTGGCTGCAGCATTTTCGAGCGTAAAGGTGCAGATGACGAGGAGCAGCCGTCAGTTTGGCCAGACCATGAACCACGGCTTCTTCAGACGTAGATTTGACCAGCAGAGCAGCTGACGACCTATAGAATCTTCGAGCGTGAAAGCGCGGAAGACGAGGGGAAGCGGTAATGTTGGCCAATCTTTGAACCACGTAGTTGTGGAAACTGGGTTTGAGTAGCGGCTGTGGAAGCTGATTTTGAGCAGTACAGGAGTTGAGAAAGTTCGGGATCTTCGAGGGAGAAGGCACGGATAATAATAAGGAGCAGTAATGTTGACTAATCTTTGAACACGCCCTTGTGGAAACTGAATTTGATTAGGAGAGCAGTTGACGAAGTGCAGTATCCTTAAGCATGGATGTGCGGATGACGATGAGGAGCAGTGAAGTCGGCCAGGCCTTGAATCAAGCGGTGGTGGAAACTGATGTTAAGCAGCTGAGCGTTTAACGAAGTGCAGAATCTTTGAGCATGAAGGCGTCGTCCACAAGAAGCAGCAGAGAAGTTGCCGATCTCTCCAGCTCCCGAGAATGAAGCAGTGGCGAAGCAGCGAATCCGTTGGCAAGCAGATTTGGACCATAGGCCATGAGGATGTCAGCGCAGCAAGCCCGCAGAGTGATTGTGATAAGCCGATGGGATTTGCGGGAAAGGACCTTCGGCAAGGGACCAAAGCACCAGATTGAAGAGCAGCAGCGCATCTCCGAATGAAGGTGATGCGATGCAATCAGCGCAGCAGTCCGAAGAGAGCTTTTGCGGGAAAGGTCCTTTGCTTCTAGAGCATCCGATCAACAAGCAGCAGTCCGAAGGAAAGAGCATTTGCCGGAAAGGCCGTTTGGCAATGGCGGAAGCATCCCATTGACAAACAGCAGTCCGAGAGAGGCAAATTTTGCTGGAAAGGCCGACTGGTAATGTCTGATGTACCATATTGAAGAAGAGGTCCGAATGCAGGCTCGGCGATACGATCAGCGGAGCAGTCTGAGAGAGAGAGTTTGCTAGAATGGTCAATAGGCAATGTCAATGTCTGAAGTATCCGATTGGGAAGCAGCAGAGTACCCACGGCGGAAGACTGCGTGATAAAAGCAAAGCAGCAGTGCGCAAACTGCCCATGATCGAGATGCAGCATTTGCCGGACAGCAAAACAGGATGCAAGGAGGTTCCAGTCCGGGAGCAGGATATCTTGAGCAGTCAGCAAGAAGCGTTTGAGCATCAGGAGCGAGCATAGATTGGAGTCTTGCAAGGACTTGGTATCGAGCAAGGTTTGAGGAGTCGTAGAGAGCTTCCAACCACAAGGAGCGAACAGCAAATTTGTTCAGGCCAGAGCTCCCCAAGCACTCGAAAAGAAGTCCTCGGCCGCGAAGAGCAGTCGACAAGGTCTCTACGATGAAGAGCGAGCATCAGTTCTGACTTTTTCGAGATTTTCTCGGCATTGGGTCAGACGCCAGGTTGCCAGGTTTCAGCATTCGGTGGAGAGCTTGCCACCACTTCAAAGCAGCAGTGCGGCGGCAGCAATCTTTCCAGCGGAGTCGGCCATGGAGCTGAGTAAAATCGACGTGATAAGGAAGAGCTCAGGAGCCCAGAAGAGCAGGTTGATGTGGCTGCAGGTGTTTGATCATGAGCAGCGCAGTTGAAGGAGCAGGTTTGTGCAGTAACGAAGAGCAGCTGGAGAAGGAGAGCAAATGTCCGAGGGACTTGACCTTGTAGAAGCAGCAGATGGAGCTCGGGAGCATTATGGCATTACGACTCGTTTGTAAAGCAGCGCAGTCGAATGAGCAAGTTTGAGCAGCTGTCGGAGCAGGAGAGCAGTTGTCGAAGAAGGACTTGCTCTCCAGAAGCACTTGATGAAGCTTGTGAGGATTGTAGCATCGCACGAGGAGATTCGAGGGTGAGGCAGAGTCGCAGCAGCAGTATGAGTCAGAGCAAGTCCAGCGGTATAGGGCGATTCCAGCGACCATGGCGGAGGAAGTGCTGGGGTAGAATATCCGATGGCTGACGCCATTCGATATGCTTTTGACTGCCCTGAAGGATCGGAGGAAGCGTCTGAATCCATTCATTGACGTCCTCGACCTGATTCCAGATCAATCGATTGTGATTCCATTGCGAGGTTCAGTCAAGTCCCTACGCCAACGTCAAGGTGCGAGCACATTCGCAATGGTAGCTTTTGACGCAGTCTTTCCACCTGTGAGGGTCTCAAGGGAGGCCACCTACCAAACCCATGACGAGGCGTCTGCTGCCTGTCCGACGAGCGTGACATCGCGCGGAGCTCAATCTACGGGAGGACGCAAGAGAGGGATGAGATGTGCGTTCGGGGAAGTGTCTCACAAAGCTTCTTCTCGCCTGCGGACCTCGAGCTCCTCGGCTCTCTGCTTTATGAGCCGGCGCATGTCTCGGTCAGAATCACGCTATGCCTGCCTTTGTGATCCGGCTGATGAATGAAGCAGCCCACGAGCGGACTCTCCCGCCACTGCGATGATGCCTTGCTCTTTCTTCGTCACGAGGTGGAAAGGGAACATTGATCATGGTGGAAAGGCGGCAAAACGAGCAATGGGCGTGGAGCTGATCCGGAGATTTGGAGGTCAAGACACAAGTTCCTCGCAGCGAGCGCGCGAGTATGAAGAAGGTCGATTCTTGGTGGTGGCGGGTCTTTGGGAATGTTGGAAGCGAAGTGGGATCAATGAATGTGTCTTGTTTTGGAGATGCGGAGATGCGGAAGTGTACGCAGTTCGGCGACTCGGGGATGCTGGGGTCGGCCGCGATGCCCACGTATTGGTCGAATGCAGCAGGACTTCTTTCTCACAGCGTCTGAGCACTTCCCACTGAATCTCGCCGGCCGCAGGTTCTCATTTCCACCTCGATGCCCTCAGACGCTGTACATATCAGCGGCCACCATCGCTCGACGTCCACTCCATCTTCCGTCTATGTGCATTCACCATAATCCTTCTCTCTCACCGGCAACACGCAGCACCGAGGCCCATCTCCGATCTCTTGAGGTCGAAGCACACAGTCACGCCATAGCCCAGCATCGTACGACTCCGAAGACAGGCGAGAAGAGTAGGGAAATGTCTGGGTGTCACGTCGATCTCTCGCCCTATGGCCCGTGAAATTCGACAATAGCATGTATGAGATGGTTGCAGGTCGGTGTCTCAGCAGGAGGAAAGGACGGAAGTCCATAGCATGCGGCAATGCAGGAGCATGATTTGGGTGAATGTGAGAGGCCATGCTCGAGCAGGAGCAGGGAGAAGAGCCTGAACAGCTGACCGGTGCGGCAGAGATATGACACAGTCAACCGCCAGAGCGAAATCAGACATGTCACTCATCAAAAAAAGCTGCCTCCTTTTCGTCGATGGAGAGGTGAGACTAATTCAGACATTCCTCGCTTCCGGTAGTGGAGAGAAACATCGTCGTGCTGACCTTCACTGTGTAATAGAACCATGGCGCACACATCCACCGGGCGAACGCGGAAAGCAAATCTCCATCCATCCATACGCAGCACAGATGGCGCGATCTTGGTCACGCCCAAGACCAAGGCTTCACGCGCGCGCACCGGCATGAACAATGTAAAGACAGCGACACCAGGCACGGACGACGCACAGGACAGCGGCGGTACTCGATCCGTCCAGGACGAGCTTCAAGAAACCTCAGGCTATGCTTCTACAAGACCAAGAGACGCCATAGACGAGCATGGGCCAACTCCAACACAAGCTGCACAATCAAAGACCTGAAAGCCTTCGCCACCTCGTACGACAACCCGCACAGGAACCCGATACGAAAGAACATTCGCACTCACATTCGTGGCCTTCAAAGTCAGCAATCATGTCCCCACTTGCCGGCCCTGTGCGGACTGCAGCTCAACGCTGTATTTTCAAGAGCGGGTTTCGACAGTGTCCACTTTCTCATCCATCTACACAATCTGGCCGCCATCCAGAGTTCTGCTTATACCAGTGGCCTGGAGGGAAAGTTGCCACTCTTCAGCGAGGCCGGCCATGCAACTTTTGGATGAAGCGCGAGATTCCAGACGCAAAATCAACGTAACACTGAGTGGCGGCCTGCCGACTGCCCTCGTGCAAGGCAGTTGGCCGAGGAGCGATTTGACATGGTCTTAGTCAGGCGTGCGGGAAAACAGCAAATCACGAACAATGACAATGAGGCAGACGCATCAAAACCAAGTTATCTCGAATAATGACATCGAGCAGGACGCATCAAGACCAAGTCAAGAGCGGCAAGGAGAGTTTCGTGGAGATGGGCGGGCATCGCCAGACACTTGATCATCTATGGAGAGAAGCCATCGTCACAACTTTCAACCTTTTCGAGAAAATGGAGGAAGGAATGGTACTCCGAAAATCAACAACAACGACAAGACTCTGATTTGCAGAGGTGATGGTGATTGGACCATTCCCTCTTCGGGCGGCCTACAATCGCAGATGTTGCTGCCGACTTCACCATCGAACTTCCCGAAATGACTCCCGCCGCCATCACCAACCCCATCACCAACTTAGATATGGCGAGACGAAACGCCAGTGACATGGCATCACATATTCGCAGGCAACACTACCTTCGCGAGCATTCTCCTGCCCTCGAAACCGAGCCCGGTCATACGCGCACCGGCGATGGCGTTGTGTCGACTTTCGGCTGCCATCGCATGAACTCTGTCGCTCGCGACAACGCTTCTTATCATTGTTTTTGCATGACATCGCGCACAATGCTGCTGATCGCTCTGAGTTGTGCCGCATCACGCACAGAGGAAGTCCCATGTACCCAGACATGATCCTGCTCATCCTCCCAGGATCAAACAGCTTGGCTTTGGCCGGTCTGGAACGCTCGTCGAAGCCTATGGCGCCCACAGTACTGCCTCCAACTGTGTCATCTACGAGCCTGCTGAACACATCTCACCATTTTGATCAAGTCTCATCTAGCTGCCGCGCTTGTCAATTCCGAAACGACACCCTATTGATGTAATACCTCCAGCCGAATGCTCACTTGGACCATTCCCCGAAGCAGTTGGCCTAGACCACAACGATATGGATGACTTCCTGAAATGCATGACTGCTACTCTTGCTGCAGTGTCTACTGGCATGGCTCCCACATCGAAGGCGTGGCGCACGGTTGAGCTGCCACCAGCCCTACCCTTGCCGGCGCGAGACCATCCACTCGAAGATGTCAACCCCAAGCAAGCCTTGTACCCGGCCATCACGCGCTACAGGACCAGCTCCCGGGGATTCAGGCCCCGATCAAGACCATGGCACACTACCAGTTGGAAGGCCGGCGCGAGATCATCAACCCGAAGATGCCGACCCGAGCAGGCCTTGCACCGAGTCATTATGCGCTGTGAAGACCAGCTCCTCGCCATTGACGCCCAGATCAAGACCATGGCAGAGTACCAGTGCGAATGCCAGCCCGAGACTGTCGAATCGAAGATGCCGACCTAAGCGGGCCTCGTACCGAGCCATCATGCGCTGTGAAGACCAGCTCTTCGCCATCGACGCCCAAATCAAGACTATGCCAGACTACCAGTGCGAATGCCAGCCCGAGACTGTCGAATCGAAGATGCCGACCCAAGCGGGCCTTGTACCGAGCCATCATGCGCTGTGAAGACCAGCTCTTCGCCATCGACGCCCAGATCAAGACCATGGCAGAGTACCAGTTCGAATGCCAGCCCGAGACCATCGAATCGAAGATGCCGACCCCAATCAGGGCCTTGCAGTGCTGTCAAGACCTACTCCCCGTCATCAACGCCCAGACCCAGACATGGCAAAGGCCGAGCATGAGCGTCGCATCGAATGCAGCAAGGAGGGCTTGTTGAATTTGATCGACGAGTCGAAGAACCCGAGTGATGACTACCTTGCTCTGGTCGCCCGTCGTCTACATGCGCTTAATCACAAGAAGAAGTCAGACTCCAGCAGCATGCGCAAGTGACCGCCGACAACCGATGACCACCGACTAAGCATGAAAATAGGTTCTCTAAGGCTCAACACAACTCAGCAGAAGACTTCTTTGAGAAATCCCCCATCTTCTGCATGCAAACACTACCAACCCGCTGGGTCAAATTGCAAAACACTAGCAATGTCAGCTCCTACGTCCCGCCTCGCCCTGGTTCCTCCCGAAGACCGCAACACGCGAGCCAACGAGCAGATTGAGCACACACGAACGTACATAGTCAAGCTATGTGACGATAATGACGATTTCCGGAGACGTTGCGAGGCGAAAATCACGAAGCTAGCATTGGAAGAAGGAGTCTGGACCTCATGTTGTATTGCTTAGGTATATCAGCAGAGATAATGAAGGAAAATTATCATTCCTTTCGCTTCGCTTTAAGGATTTGGCAGGCAAATGGTGCCCTGCTTGATCAGGCAGGCATTCAAAACTGGTTCTTGTAGCTTTGGAGGTATCTTGCTTTTATGCCAGTGACCTCAACTTTATTGATCCAAACTTTGGCGAGAATACATGCACCGTACTCATAGATTCAGTCGCCCCCTTCGCTTTTGCGACATATTGTAAAAGTTGACGAACTCGTTGTATCGACGAGGCGAGGAGTTTGCAAGAGATGAGCTTCGGCCAAGAGGTGCTTGAATTCGTGCTCAAGTTTGAATCGGCGTTACAGCACGCACGCAGTTCTCCAATGCGTAGAAACAAGCCGATACGGAGACCCAGCGATTTCACGAGGTGTGCTTCAACAAGACATTCGCCAATGACATGCCCCAAAGCTACGAATTGGCCAAAAGCGGACGGCCGAGCAAAAGCCAGTGTGGAAAGACGTGAGAAAAAGATGGGCATTGCAAGTGGAGAAAGCGTTGGTGATCGTGAGACTTTTGCTGGCTATGTGGGAGGCTTATACTCAGAGTAGCGCTTAGGCAATGACATCCAGCTTCGCGATAGATTTTCGCCCCACGTCCCCAGGAGGAGGCGGAGGAGAATGAGGTTTGGGCTGCTTGCGTGTCCTATTTGATCCGCCACAAGGCAACGTTGCGGTCCCCCTTCTTCACGCCCATCACGTTCATCACGTCCATCATGCCGCAAGGCTCTGGCGCTGCCACGATTCTGGCGCTGCCGGTCGAAGGTATCAATGTCGCGGCTTTTCTGAGACCCGTGCTCTACAGGTCGCGCCGGCTGTTGCGCATCGGTCAAGGCATCATCGTTCGAGAAAATTGGGTCGAGGTCGTTGAAACCAGCACCAAGTGTTTTGCTGATGTGGAATGGGCGGCGATGAAGGCGATGTGGGTGAATTGCGTTCGAGGGATGGGCTGGCGGAGAAAAGTCGAGGTGGACAGGACAGGTGGACGAGACAGGTGGACGAGAAAAGTGGACGAGAAAAGTGGACGAGAAAAGTGGACGAGAAAAGTGGACGAGAAAAGTGGACGAGACAGGTAGACGGGAAAGGTGGACGAGACAGGTGGACGGCAAACTTCGTCTACCTTCCCCAGTCTCGGCGGGCTGGATTGGGCCGGACCAATAGCGTTGGCTTCCACTCCGACGAAGACGCTGCACATCTCTCGAGTGCACAATCGACACACTCTGGGCGAAGTACGCACGCACGGCGCCAAACTCGAATCCACGCCACGCCACGTTCAATTGACCAGCCACGATGACATCCGGTCGTCACACGCAGGCGGAGCTCGCACCGTCCTTGGCCCTGACGACCTCATCACCGCCAAACTGGCCGCTTGGGGATGGAGTCCGTGAATGCGTACTGCCAGAAAGACGACAATCCCACTTCCGAGTCGTGAGAACATCGAGCTTGTCGACTGGCATCTCGGGCCTTGGAGAGGAGCGACACCATAGTCTCGCCGGAGTGGTCACCAATGACTGGGTATCACAGCATCAAGAGCCGCGAGAAAAGAAAGCCGAGGAATGAATGCACAAGCCCAAAACTCATCATGCTGCGTTTCTGCAAAGAAAGGCAAGCTTTGCAGCCACATCTCGGTGTCGACAAGCCCGCTTGACTCTTGCATATGGCCATGTTACTTGGGGTTCTTGTAGGCGGGATGTATCACGAATCTGTTCCGTTCTGCAGTGTGTAACCGTCGATGGAGAGAATATGCCTTTTTCTGGCACTTGATGATGATGATGCTGCAGGCCTCTGCCTTGACACATCACATTGGTAAGATCAAACTTTGGAGCATCAAGACTAGTGAAACAACCGTCTGCTCTTCATCTGATTTCTTCTTCCACTCGCCTTCCCCTCACCTCTTCCGCTTCGACGACCGCAACAACATGTCTGCATCGGCATCGGCATTGGACATCTTCATTCCAAATTCCGATCCCTGTCAATCAACTGCTCTCCGCGTCTCCCACGCTTGTCGCAGCAACCAAATTCACCCAGCCCTTACTCACGACTCGTACTGCGGTCTTCGCTGCACCATCTGCTATCAGACTACTCTGAGTGGGAAGAATGCCCATGATTTTGGCAGCAGTGTGGGTCCTGCTACGTCTGCCACGCTCGCGGCAGCAGACAAATCCCCTCAGGCCACACTCACGACTCGTACTACTGTGTCCGCTGCGCCATCTTCCATCAGAACACTTCGATCTGGGAAGAATGTCCACCAAGGCCATACTCACGACTCGTCCTACTGTCTTCGCTGCGCCATCTTCCACCGGTCCACTTCACCTTGGGAAGAATGTCCATGCTTTGGGCATCAGTGCCGGCCCTGCCACGTCTGCTGCGAGCAGCAGACACACCCACCCAGGTCATACTCCCGGCTCACACTGCTGTCTTCGCTGCACGATCTCCCATGGAACTTGGGGAGAATATACTGCTTTGGACAGCAGTGCGACCCATGCCACGCCTGCGGCAGCCTGCGAACCATCGCCCTACCCAGCCCAAGACTCCTACATCTGCTGTTCATGTCACGAAAACCAGCAGATTGACGTTTACTGGGCCACTCTCACCTCCAACGACCCGGAATGCGCATGCAAGGGAATCAGACAGCACGAAGAAATCGCCAAGAGCCTTGAATCTCACGCTTGCAGCAATACAAAAGTCCAACCCTATCCGAGTTTTGGCTCGCATTGGCGTGGCCCATGCGATGGACGCGATCCTGGCATCATTCACGCAATGGCAGGCTGCGGATGGCAAGACTTCCGAGGGAGTGGGGATCAATCGCCCAGAGCCTTGAATCTCACGCTTGCAGCAACACAAAAGTCCGACCCCACCGAGTTTTGGCTCGCATTGGCGTGGCCCATGCGATCGATGCGATCCTGGCATCCTTCACGCAATGGCAGGGTGCGGATGGCAAGACTTCCGAGGCAGTAGGGATCAAGTGTAGGTAGCTGAAGAGGAGGTTCGAGAAGTTTCGCGCAAGGATATCAGCTGGGAAGAAGTTTCCCAAGACAATGAGGTCCAGATCACGAGTGAAGGGAAGGAATGGAAGAGCACACAGCTGACACTGACATCGAAACTTCGAGCAGCAAAAGAAGAGGAGGAAGAAGGACTTGACAAAGACGGCAGCACGGCTCCAACAAGCGAGACATCCGGCAAGACATCCAGCGTGGGACAAGCACCATCCAGCAGCAAAGATGAAGCCAAAAGCGAAGAAGGCACGGCAGTCGGCAGATATGGGAGGAGACATCGAGAATGGATGGACGACTTTGGTTTCCTGGTTGCTCACATCCTCAACTACACCACCCGGGTCCTAACGCTTGGTTGGGATGCGCCGGCTCTAAACGTTTTTTTGGCCGAGATGAGAGGACGAGACATAGAGAGTGGATCTACCAATTCGTTTCCTTCCTTATGTCGTCAAACGTCCGCATGCTAGGCCTTGACAATGGATTGGGAAGCACTGCGGCCAAGCGGGGGTTTTTTTTCGGCAGTCTCTAGCGATGTTGTGGAGTTGTGAGATGGACGATGTAAATTTAGACTGGGGATCAAGCACGACGGTTCCGAGAGTCGAAGTTGGCGAGCGAATCCACTGGCATAATATGCAAAAGCCCTCCATGACTTGTTTACGAGCTTTGCTAGCTTATCTCTGCCTGCTATGTCTCACTGCATCTTCGGGAGCTGGGGCTGGAGCTGGAGTGCTGATTACCGATGCTGATGCTGATGGTGATGCTGATGCTGATGCTGATGCTGATGCTAATGCTGATGCTGATGCTGATGCTGATAGTAATGGTGATGGTGATGGTAATAGTGATAGTAATGCTGATGCTGATACTGATCCTGATTACCGATGCTGATGCTGTACGAATATGCCCAACAAGGGCCAATTGGCCGTGTCTGCTGAAGCTCAAGTCGGGGCGTTGGTTGGGTTCGCAATCCACGTTGGCGTTGGCGTTAGCGTTAGCGATTGCGTCTTGCAATAACTTTGGTACTCTGTGTTGCATGCTGAGGCCGGCGCTAATGACTTTTACGCCTATAGATTTCTCGAAACTGAAGCTCGCGCTCAACTACTGCGAATCTACCTCTCCTAAAGTATTACGACTCCGCTCTCGAAACTTAACTTAGCGCTTAGCTCTTATAATATTTCAAACTAGTATTCCGCTACGACTAGCTTTCTACTATCCTATCTATAGTACGACCTTAGTAAGAACGTTACTTCTTAAATACTAGTACGTACAATATAATAGAAACAAATCGATTTAGTTCTATATACTATACCTCTATCTCTATAGATAGCGTAAATAGTCGCCTAATACGATTTATTACCTCTAAAGCTTTAAAATCCGCGCCGCCGCTACTACTATTTTCGTCGTCGCTATTTTCTATCTCGCTTCTACTCTATAAATCTAAGTCCTCTTATTATCGCCTAGTTTAGTATTAATCTGTTCAATCTCTTCTATTTCAACCTATATTTTACCTATTATATTCTACGATAGTAAAGATTAGAAGAAATCCTAGGACGTCTTAAATTTCGCGGTTTCGGCTTTACGTATATTAGCGATTATCTAGAGCTTGCGTTCTGCGTTCTTGCGTTCTTTCTCCGTCTTATCGTAGGTTACTTTCGCCTAAGCTAAAGTATTATATATATTCGCTCGGGATTCTCTATCTATTAAGCCGATTAGGAACGCGGTTTACGTAGTAATATCTTCCTTCTCGAGAATTTTAACGTCTTTATTTACCTCTACCCTTCTTTTAAACACATCTTTCTTCGCCTTTTACGCTTTATCTTCTATAGTCTTTAACGTAAATAGCGTTTACCTATATTCTTCTTTTAGAATAGTAAGTTTATTCTAGATCTTAGTCTTCTTTTATAAAAGTAGACTACGTTATATAGCTAGCTCTACTTATTATATTTCTCGTAGTCTATAACGCTCCTCTTTACGAGCTTCGAAGGCGATAATATCTTTAACGTAGTAAAAAACATCCTCCTTATTCTCTTTATCGTAGAGTACGTTATTCTTTCGCTTCTTATATTTCTATTCTATATAGTCCCGCGTCTTACTAACCTTATCTTATACGAGTTTAGCTCTAGTCTCGAGAGCTACTATACTTCGTATCGTTTTCTTTAGAGTTATATATCGTATATAGTCTATTATAGTAGGGTATAGGTAGAGATCTATAGTATACGCAATCTATTTCGTAGTATACGGCGTAATCGGCGAACTCGGAGGAGCTTCTAGAACCCCGAAATCTTAATTAGTATCCGGAATAAATGGCTAGGTACGTTCTTTATAGGCTAGATACCGATTCGTATATTGCTTTCGAGAGCCTAGAGATCCGGACGTATCCTACGATATCGTAGACCTAGATAAGTATAGTATATTAAATATAGCCGTAGACTACGAGATTAAACTCTCCGGTAGTAGTCTAAGACGGGATAGTTGTTTAGGGTAATCTCCTTATCTAACTAGAGTCTACGATTATACTTCTTATACCCTCGGTCTCGTAGATATACTCTAAATCGAATTCTACCTTAATAACCTTTATACCCTCTACTTCTCGAGCTAAAGTCTATCCTCGTTATAATACCCTCTATACCCTTCTACCCTTATAACTTCTATAGATCTAAAATATAATAACTTAATAAAAAGTAGGGCCCCCCTAGGCTTAGTACGGCTTAAAACGCGCTAAAAGCCGACTCTAATTAGTCGCTACTAAGGAAGCTTAAAATTTCTCGGTTCGCGAGCGGTCTAGAGAGTATAGGAGCCGTTAGATATATCGTAACGCTTCGCCGCTATAATAGTAGTATTTCTAATACTATCTCCGTCGTCTACGCCTAATATAGCGGCTTAATCTAGCGGTATTTGCTCGAAGCGGTATCGTTTACGCCTAATCCGGCGGTATTTACTCGATACGGTAGACTCGAAAGGCTTATCGTACGCGTTCTAGATAGTACTACTCGCTATATAAGCGTTTCGAATATTACTACTTACTATAAGCGTTTCGGATATAACTTATTAGAAGTATTATAAATAGTACTTACTATAGGCATTTTAGATAGTACTACCTGCTATAAGCGTTCTTAATAGTACTTACTATTAGCGTTCTAAATAAGACTTACTATACGCGTTCTAGATAGTACTTACGATACGCGTTCCGGATAAGACTTAGTATAAGCGTTTTGGATTAGAATTACTATATAGCGCGTTCTAAATAAAACTTAGTATAGGCGTTATAGATAGTAGTACTTACTATTAGCGCTCCGGATTAGACTTACTATACGCGTTCCGAATAGTACTACTCGCTATAATCCTTCCGGATAGTACTTAATATAAGTATTTAGTTTCGGATTAGACTTAGACTTGCTTTATATATTCCGGATAAGACTTTCTATAGGCGTTTCGGATTACACTTAGTATACGCGTTCCGTTTTGTATAGGTCTAACTAAACCAAGCGTTTAAAAGCCTAATCCGGCGGCATTTACTCGAGGTAGTATACTCGAAAGGCTTATCCTATTCGTTCCGGGTAGTAACAATAAATAGGCCCCCTTTAGACTTAGTACGGCTTAAAATAAGCTAAAAGCAGACTCTAATTAGTTATAGCCGAGGAACTTTAAAATTCCTTAGTTCGCGAGCGGTTCGGAGGATATAGGAGTCGTCGTATATAGTTCGTAAGCGGTTCGGAGGTCGTAGGAGTTTATAGTATATATTGTAGGGCTACGATAGTAGTATTTCCGATACTATATCGGTCGTTTACGCCTATTCCGGCGGTATTTACTCGAGGCGGTATACTCGAAAGGCTTATTCTACGCGTTCCGTATAGTACTACTCGCTATAGATATTATATAGAGTACTTACTATAGGCGTTTTAAAGAGGACTCGTAGTAGGTATTATATAGGGTACTCGCTATAAGTATTTCGAATACTATTTAGGCATAGGCGTTTTAGATATTAGAATTACTATATAGCGCGTTCTAAATAAAACTTAGTATAGGCGTTATAGATAGTAGTACTAACTATTAGCGCTCTAGATTAGTCTTGCTATACGCGTTCTAAATATTAAATATTACTTAGTATTATAAGCGTTCTAAAGCAGAATTTATATAAGTATTTTAGATTAAAATTACTATAATCGTTTTAGATTAGACATACTATACGCCTTATAGGTAGTACTTACTATAAGCGTTCCGACTCGGAAAGAACTACTTACTATAGATATTTCGAATAGTACTCGCTATAGGTATTCTAAATAGTAATTACTATAGGCGTATTCCCGAAGTAGTTACTATAGATATTTTAGACTATCTTACTATAAGCGTTTCTAAATAGTGCTCTTTAATACCTATAACGCGTTCCGGATTAATATTGCTATTAGCGTTTTAGATATAACTTACTATACGCGTTTTAGATTATAGCCTACTATAGGCGTTCTAGATAAGACTTTAGCTACTCGTTGCCTTAGGCTTCTCGTATAGCTCTTTAAGCTATATAAGTACTAGTTTACTATAACGGATCTACTCCGAACTAAACTCCGCGATTACGACTTTAATGCCTATATCTATAGTATCTCGGATTTGCTTCTCTAACCTAAAGTCCGCGGTTATTATTTTTAAGCCCTTAAAACTTCTTTAAACCTTAGTCCGCGTTTATATTTTTAATACCCTTAGTACTATAAATCTGCTCCTCTAAACTAAACTCCGCGCTTAGACTTTATATCTATACTATTACGGATCTACTTCTCTTAACTATAGTCCGCGCTAAAATCTACTTTTTACGGAGGAGGCGCTAATCTAATTCTCTAAATAGTAGTCCGTAGTTATAACTATTATACTCTTAATACTACGAATCTGCTTCTTTAAAAGTATTATAGATCTACTTCTCTTAACTTTAGTCTACGGTTATAACTTTTATACCTAAGGTATCGTAAATCTACTCCTCCGAACTTAAGCCCTCGCCTACGATTTTAAGATCCTAAGTGCCGTAGATCTACTCCTCTAAAAGCGTTATATATCTACTCCTCCGATATTTATCTCTACGCTAAAATCCGTTCTGAATAACGAAGCTACTAAACTAATTATTTATATAGGGAAGAGACTAGTCTTTTATTAAATAAAGATACTAATATAGCGTCTATTACCGCGGCGGTAGTCTTCGAGTATAACTAAATACTAAAATAGTTCTAAAGTAGCGTAGCGAAGGAGCTACGCCTAGAAAAGAAGTCTAGTATTAGTTATACTTAGTACCTAGTACTTCTAAGATAATGCCTTATCCGTAGCTTTGTCGCCCCCTCTATAAGATAGTTGCAAGCTACCTTATAATTTAGCTAAAATCGACACTTTATATTATAATACTAACACTATACTATTAGATCTGCTATATTAATTTCCCAACCGCTTCTATACGTACTTATTGAATTTCTGACAATGCCTCGTGCCCGTAAAACCGCTAGTGCGCGTATACGCCGCCCTATCGCGAAATTAATGCCCTACGTATACGAAGAAAACCGTATTTAGGCCGTTTTAGATAGGATACTATCCTTCTACTACGACTACGACGATTACGTACCTAATATTAAGCAATAGTCTACCGACGAGCACGTTAACTATTAGAAGCTTCGCTTCCGGTATCTAAAGGTTATAGGTCGTCGTAGTAGTCGTAGTGCCCTTACTAAGCGATAGCTACTAAACACGAAGATAAAGCCTACTTAGCAAACAGCCCTCCTTGAATACTACTATAGGCGCGAGCTAATAGGCCTAGATATTCCTATACGACTGCTATACGTTACTGCTAATAATATCCTTCTTCGTAACGCGCTAGATCTACTTAATCTACCGACGGTAGATAGGCGCTAGATAAAGAGGTTCATAAAGGAACACGGGCTTTACTAAGTACTGCAAAAGCCGATTGAAATAGTACGGAAGGAGGCCTATAAACCTAAGCGGATAAGACGATAGTATATACGGCTACGAGAGACAATAGCATACTATAAGATTGCTAATCTACGGCTAATACAGAACTTCGATAAGACTAGTTTCCGGATTAGCATTAGAGGCAAGGAATACGTCGTTACAATAGACCCGAAACGTCGCTCTTAGAGCGCTTCTAAGACTAACCGGAAGCATATAACCTCTATTGAATTAGTTAATGCCGCCGGTAACTCTATTCTACCTATACTAATTGCTACTAGCAAGGTACTCTAAGAACGGTAGTTTACTAACCTATCCGCGTCTACGCTAGTAGACGTAACAGAAAGTAGTTATATAAACGACAACTCGGCCTACTACTATATCTAGCACTTCTACAAATACTCGAAACGATATATAGCTAACGAGGACTAGTAGCGCATACTAATATGCGATAATTACGGCTCTTACGACTTCTAAGAGTTCCTAGAATTTGTATAGTCTTACAAGATAGTAATCTTCGGCCTGCTAGCTTATATATTACATTTCCTTTAACCGCTAGATATAGTCCTATTCTAGCTATTTAAACACTATTACAAACAGGCTATAATAGACGCTACACGTACTAGTTGTATTCAGTTTGGTATAACCGAGTTTATAGCCGCAATCGACTCTATTTAAGCTAATACATTTAAACCGAGTAGCATTAAATCCTCTTTCCGTAAGACAGGCCTCCTTCTATACGATCCGGAGCGCGCTATAACGTTCCTTCGGCTAGAATACAACGCTAGAGACAGCATACAATACTAGTAACAATACGAACGATTAGACGCGCTTGCTATCGACTATTCCGACCGAGTTATAGACTCGGCTAGAAGCCTAGAATACCTCCGCGGGGATGACTATTTACTAACAATTCCCTAGCGCCTATATAACTTAGAGGTGCCTAGGCCGGCAATAGAGAGTCGGACTAGATTAATAAGTATACGGACTACTATAAGGCATACCGACTTCCTCTAATAGAGGCTCGAAGGCCTCCTATCGTTACTATTAGCTAGTGTTATAAGGCGGCTATTTATCTATACTAAAGTTAACTCTCAATTAGCCGCCTAAGCAACCTTTAACCTCTCTTAAACCGAGGCGGCAACTCGGGCACGTAAACGACGAGAAGAAGCGTCTTCGAGGCCTATTGTTACTAGTAGACTATTATATGCTAGATAAGCAAGGAGGGCTATTAAGAAGCGGAGGTTTAACGACTAAGAGGCGGTACTAAACTAAGCAAGAGACAAGGCTAGGCGATTAAGGACATAATAGACCAACTACAAGAAGCGCTGTCGCAAGGCTATTAATATAAGCGTTAAGGGCCGTGCAAACACAAAGGTTAAGGTCTAACTATTGCGTAAGATAGGCTATAACCTATAGTCGACTGTTAGTTAATTAGTAAAGACTTATAAGCCTACTAAGCTATTATTAGAAGCGCTTAAAGTCTTCCCTATTATACGTATATATATTAAGATTGCTAGAGCTAAGAAGACTATCGTTTCTGTCTACAACGTGCTTACCTACGGTAGTAAGCCTAGTAGTAATATTAATCCGGATACTAAAGAAGAAGGTCTACTTAAACCCTTATATAAGCTTGTTATATAGACTTATAAAGAAGAGGCCCGCAGGCAGCAACAAGCTATAGTTGCTATAAGGAAGGCGGCTAAGGAGCGCTTAATAAAGCAGTTTGGAAGAGATAATAGTATAATATATAGCAGCGATTTTAGTAGTAGCGACAGTAACGGTAATAAGCTAATACCTATCAATTCGTATATACAGCCTGCTATACTACTACGTAGTCTATCTAATAGGCACGAGTTGCCTATTAGATCGTTACCGCCGTTGCTACCTTCTTCGCTATAGTCGCCTACTAAGCTGGCCTCTAGAGGGCTATTGCCTAGCAATAGCGAGGAAACACAGCAATATAGTAAACCTACAACACTACCTAATAGTCTATATTATATGTAGAGGTCTTCAATATATTCTATAGGTCTTGTTTGCTTACTTTAGCACCATTCTAACGGTGTAGTGCGGCATTATAATATAAAGTGTCGATTTTAGCTAAATTATAAGGTAGCTTGTAACTATCTCGTAGAGGGGGCGACAAAGCTACGGATAGAAAAGAAGCTTTATCTATCTGTCTACGTAGTGTCTATCTTCTCTTTCTTTTATACTTCTAGTATACTTATCCTTATCCCTATCCGCTATAATAAATCCTATACTCTATCTTAATAAATACTAAGAGGTAAGTTTATAATAATAGGTAAAAGGTAAACTATTTTTAAAGTTAACGAAAATAGATAGTAATAATTATAGTAGAAAGAGTAAATAAACAAAAGGGTAAAAGACAGAGTATAAGTTACGTAGCGAGTATAGAGTAAAGAATTACTCGGTAGGTCGGACTACGAAAAGTAGTAAAGATAAGGAAATAGCTTTTAATAAATAGCGATAAAGCAAATTATATTCGACGGAGTAGTACCTTATACTATCTTATTACTCGTTACTTCGTTACTTTACTTTTTAAAAGTATATCTACTCTTCCCTACTATATCGAGCTTAGTAAATCTAACCCCTTACTTTAGGGCTTCCTTCCTTCTTTTCTAAACGTTAATTAACTACTCTATAATCGCTTAGTAGTATCCTCCTATATTAGAAAGGTATATAGTTAGTCTCTCGTATCCTCTATAAACTTCCCTCTTTTTTTTTAAAAAAAAAAACATTACCTTGTTTATAACTACTAATCCTAGACCTAAGATACGATATTATATACTCTTCCCTATCCTATCCTATCCTCCTCTAGCCTAATAATAAAGCCTTTTAACTTACCTTAAAACCTCTCCTATCCTTCTCTTCTAGGCGTTAATTTAACTAGTTTATAGTCGCTATAGTAGCTAATCCAAATAGTACTTTAGAAAGAAGTAAGAACCGAAAGAAAATTTATTATAGCCTTCGATATTATATATAGCCTTATACTCCGCCTACTAGGGTTAGGTACGGTACGTACGGCTAGATAATCTTATAGATAGATAGGTAAGAAGAGAGTAATAGCCTAGCTTAGTAGAGCTATATAAAAAATTTCTATTTCTATTCCTATTCCTATTCCTGTTCCTATTTTTATTTATAAATACTACGAGTAGAGTTTATAATAGTAGGTAAAAAGTAAACTATTTTATAAGGTAGCGAAGATAAATAGTAATAAATATAGTAGAAAGAGCGAAAGGGTAAAAGGATAAAAGGATAAAAGGGCAAAGTAGGTAAAAGATAAACTATCCTATATAGTATAAGGTAACGAAGACAAATAGTAATAATTATAGTAGAAAGAGAGAAAGGGCAAAAAGGTAAAAGAGTAAAGTAGGTAAAAAGTAAACTATTTTAATAAAATAATAAAGACAGATAGTAAAAATTATAGTAGAATCTATATATTAGAAGAGCAAAAGGGCAAAAGATAGAGTATAAGTTATATAGCGAGTAGAGAGTAAAGAATTACTCGGGAGGTCGGACTACTAAAACTTAAAAGTAGTAAAGATAATAGAATAGCTTTTAATAAACAGCGATAAAGCAAATTATATTCGACGGAGTAGTACCTTATACTATTTTATTTCTCGTTACTACGTTACGTTGCTTTTCAAAAGTATTAACCAGTTCTCTAACAAAAGAAACCACAGCCTACAAAAGAAAAGAACGAATGTCTGTTAGTCCACTCCTCCCCTGTCTCCCATCTCCTATTCTCTCCTATCTCCCATCTCCTATCATCCCTTACTCACACCTCCGTACCCACCGAAACACTCTCCGCAATAATCTGATCCGCAGCTCGAACATCATCGTCGGAAAAGTACGGGAATGGGACCTGGAAATTCGGCATGGGAGTCGTGGCGAATCGGCCGCTTGCTGGTTGACGAGGAGTTGGAGCTGGGTGGGAAGATTTGTTGTAATAGTTGGATGCATCAACGAGAGGGGATTGAAACTGGACCATCTCTGGACGATGACGCTCTGGGCCTGGTGGTGGGGTGATGGGGCCGTAGCCGTAGCTCCAGGGATAGCCAGTGGTGTTGTCCTTGTCCTTGAATCGTGACGTAATGAAAGATGGGCTGGAGTAAGCGTTCTCCAATTCGTCGCGAGTAGCAGAGGAAACTCTTGGGTGTTGGTGGTTCGTAGGCTGCTGTTGCTGCTGCTCGAGACGCTTGGTCAAGTCGTGGATTTGCTGGCGGAGGTCGTTGATGGTGGATGAGAGATAGTCGTTCTTGGACTTCTCAAATTGCAAGTCGAGTCTGGGGCCCTCTGCTGCAGCGTTGGCCTTCTCGAGCTCATCGATACGCAGCTGGAGAGTACGAAGCTGATCTTGCTTGGACTTGTCAGCGTGACGCAGCTCGGCAGCCTTCTGCTCCGCTTCCTTGCGCGATTTCTCCATGCCGCGATGAGCTGCAGCCAACTGCTCGCTCAAGCGCTTGTTGTCCTGCTCGGTCTTGTCGGCCTGCGCCTGGGCTCGCGCGGCAGATTGGCGGAGAGTGTTGCTGCTACCTCCAGCATCGGCTTGCAAGCGGCGGAGGTTGTCCCGCTCTTCGGTCAATGCCTTCCGCTCTGCCTCTGACACGCGGAGCTTCTCGCTCGTGGCTATGGCATTGGCGTCGAAGATGGCCTTGACCCAGCGCATTCCATCTTCGGTGTTGATGTAGCCGGTGAGGTAATCGCGAGTCATGGTGGGATCGTGCTTGTTTGCCGCCAAGGCGATGTCGACAAATTTGCGGGTGAAGGCATCCGATGCAGCGGTCTTTGGGGCAGCAGCTGCTGCCGTGGCCGCTCCATCAGGTGCCTTGGCAATACCGGGAATGCTGCTTGCTCCAAAGAGCTTCTTCTTGAGCGCAATCAAGCCATCGGCGACCGCTTTGCTGCTGCGGTGTGCCTTCTCCTGCCAATCGTTCCAGCTGAAAGCGGCCCCATCAGGAACAGGGTTCTCGGCCAGGAAGAGGCGCCAGTCAATCGAGGCCTTGTTTGGTCCGCGAGCGAGCTCCTTGGTGATGCTGATTTCAGAGCCTGGACGCTCGAGAGCTATGAGCACGGCACGACGGAAACGAACTCGCACACCACTTGGCGGGTTCGAGTCGGGACCCACCAATTCTTCCTCGAAAACTCCGATGAGCTTGGTGATAGTCATGTGCGACTTGATCCAGGTGAGGACTTTGTTGATGAGCTGGCGAGAAACCGCCGTGTCTGGTGTCTCAAAGTTGATGGCTTTCAGCAGAGCCATGGCCTGCTTGGCGCTTTGTGGGAGGGCTTTCGCTGTGATGGCGTTGAGAATGCAGAATCTGTAGAGCTTGTCTTGAATGGCGGCTGGCCAGATGATGCGAGAAGCCTGGCCCGACTGGAGACGCTCATGGGACAGATTGGCATAGCTCTTTTCGACTTCGTTGCAGACAATGTCGCCCGAATCATCGAGGTATGGAGTGTTGAAGATGGTAGCGTTGGCGTTGACGTTGGCGTTGGCGTTGACGTTGGCGTTGGCGTTGACGTTGGCGTTGGTGTCGGCGTTGGCCATGGTAGCAGCTGGGTCTGCGGGAAAGTGATGGAAGTCAGCAGTGGGGTGCTGATTTTGTATGAAGTCTTTCTTCGATGGAAGTGCTGGTGGCAGAGTGGACGTTTCGGCATGTCGATGCCGCTATAAGTATTCATCGTTGAGCGAACCGTGGAATGCACGACCGCGCGTCGAGAAAGAAAAGAATGCCGAGATTCCACGGTAAAGTCTGGTCGATATACCGCGGAAGCCAGAATCCCAAAAAGACAAACAGAATGAAGCAGAGAGAACACATCTCTTTCTCTTTCTCTTTCTCGATGGAATTCCCGACACAGGAACAGTCGCTCCTCGCAGGTGTAAGCAGTCGGTGTGGAGAAAGGCGGATTTTGCGCTTCCCCGACTTTCTCCCCATGCCTGCAATGGTGCTCGTTGTGAATGATGTGCTGTTTCGCATAGTATGCGTTAATATGATTGATGAGTTGGTGCGTTGACCCGCCTGGATAGGGTGAGTTGAGTTGACGTCGGAGGAGTCGGACGAATTTGCTATGGGTCCCGGCTTCGCGAATTGATCCAGACGTCGAAGATCTGCGTCGGAATCGGTGTGAGCATTACCATCGACCCCATAGTCAGCGTCATCAAGCTCTTCTATGTCTATGCTCCCGCTGTCGTACTCGAAGTCATTTCCTTCGGATCCGGAGTAACTGTGGCTCGTGGTCAGAATGGCTGCTGGATATGTAGAAGAGCTGTGAGAGTCCAGTATCTCTCGCAGACGATTCACATGGTATATGGCGTATGATCCATATGTCAAAGACCTGCGTCGGAATCGTTGTAGGCAATGTAGGCAACATTGAGCTCTTCCGTGTCTGTGCTGTCGTTATTGTACTCGAGGTCATTTCCTTCGGATCTGGAGTCTGGGTCTTGTGGTTCGTCGTCAGAATGGCTGTTGGGTGGATTCAAGGTCAGCGAGAGTCCAGTTTCTCGCAGACAGTTGACTGGGTATATGGCGTGTGATCCAGACGTGAAGAATCTCCGACCACGTAGCCAGCGTCATCAAGGTCTTCTAAATCGATAATGTCGCTGTCGTACGCAAAGTCATTTCCTGTGGATCTGGAGTCTAAATACTGTGCTTTGTTGTCAGAATGGCGGTTGGGTGCATTCACGATTGGTGAGATTGCAGTGTCTCGCAGACGATTGACTTGGTATATGCCGTAGTCTCCGAAGAGCGAGAGGTCAAACATCACTGCCAATCGGCATAACGGTGAACTCGGGTAAGTGGAAGTCAAATGCCCATTCTTGGTGATACAATAAGCTTCTTCAATCGAGGATCTTCTTTTTCTACTGCAGAAATGTAGATGTCGGGGCTGGTGTTGATGTTGGAGGAGATCGGCTAGGCAAACATCGTCGGGTGCCGGAAGGAGGTGAAGGACATGGACTTCCGGGACCAGAAAGGTTGGCCAGGAGAGGCTTGGCCACAAGAGTTGCTTCAGGGCCAAGTCGTAAGGTCGAAGGAAGCAAAGAGTGGTCAGGTAGCATGCGGTGCGCTAGGGAGCTGCAGGAATTGTTAGGGCAACGATACTTGGACTGCTTGATGGCGAGGGCTGCAGAGCTATGAATCCATCTCACATAGACGCCTGTGGTATTTCGGCGCGAGCTGGCAGGAGATCAGTGCACCAGGACGCTTTCGTAGAATGTTGTTCTGAGTTCAAAAGGCCAACTTCTTGATGCATAAGGCAGCAGCTGTCTAAGAGGGAGAGCAATGCGAGTGCAAATCGCAAAAGGAGTTCCAGGGCAGAGAGATTCGTTGGCCCAAAAGCATAGGAGATTGCTGGTGGTTTTGGGTAGCTTCGCGTCATCGTCTGCCGCCATCTGGCAGATCTTGAACCAGAGCTCCGGTGGAAGGTCAAGGGCTGTCCGCAAATTAGTCATGTGCATGCTCTCGTCGAAGGTACCAACTCACCTTGTCCCTCGAACTGAGCACCTCTCACCTCCGACTATTACCGCTGTTCTGGATCGTGTTGGTTGGTTCTGTGGTCTTGTAGGAAACTTGATGGCGTCTAGAGCAGAGCGGAGCAGAGCGGAGTTGTGTCAGCCTTGCTGTATACTTCCTGCACTTCCGGCCAATCGATGGCGCTTTTCGTCAGGCTGCCACTGTTCTCCTGGCTTTCCTGCCATTCATGCCATTGCCCACTTCAGCCTCAGGATGTCGGCCACCAGCACAAATCACCACCTCTTTCCCCGTCATCATCCCAGGCCTCATCTTCTCCTGTTCCCATCTCCCAATGCAGCGCAAGCACGTCGTCCTCGGTGAGTTCGCTCAGCTGCTTCCCTGCATGTTATGGCTTCCCAATGTCTCGCAGCTGCTGTGGGTGTTGCAAAGCTTCGTCAAGATCGGGCGTGAGAATGTCGTATCGAGACTCAAGTATCCGAAAAGCTTCTCACGAGATCCCGGTCCTGCTCCAGCAGTGCAAAAGGCGTTTCTGTTTCCAACACCGCTCGTTGTGATGGGCGCCGTACCAGGGAAGGTGATCCATGATTCGATCCCAGGTCCCAAGAGTCTCGGAGACCCTGTAACGTGCATCCCACCAAGCTCACGCATGGAAGTGCTGTGCCACGTGGAAGCGCCGTCTCTCCCAACTCTTGTTTTGCCACAGGCGCTGCTGTGCCAATGGTCGTGTCGGCGGAGGTCATTTCTGCGAGCGAGAGGAGATGCGGCGCGGCGTGGGATGACTTCCTTTCGCAGGTTGAGGAAGGCGCATAAGCCCGTCGTCTGGTATTCTTCGTCCCTGTCGTCGTCGGAGACCAGTTGGGGTGGTAGTTGTTGGGTGTGGTAGTTGTTGAGCGGTCTGTAATGAAGTAACATCTCGAGTTCTTCTCCGCTTGTGTGCGGAGGCAACTCCGGCGCCAAGGTTTGATGAGCTGAGAAAGATTGCCTTCAAGATTCGCGCAAGAACAAGAACAGGAGGAAAGACACCGGCATCAAAACCGTGTACAAAAGAGCGTGTCATTGATTCGTTACCATAAGAAACTGCCATGCTTTCACCCATTCATGCTATGCCATGCCATGCTTGACTCCCGATCCCATCATGATTCATCTCAAGTTTTCTTTTTTTTTTCACGCCATGCCATGCAATGCTTCACTCCCATCACGATTCATGCGAAACTTTCATCCCTTCCATGCCATCCTATGCTATGCCATGCTTCACTCCCACTATGATTCATTCCAAGCTTTTACCATTCATTCAATTCATTCAGCATGCACTCCCTGATCCCGCATCATGATTCGTGATCGTACCCATCGCGCCAGACGTGATATGCTCAGTTGGTGCCAAGGTCGAAATCAGCCCACTGACTCCAGTAGATACCAGGAATTTCGAGCTCGCCGTCGAACCCGAAAGAGGTGGAGGAGTTGAGATCTCCCACTGTGTTGCCTATACCAGTGTCGGCTGGACCAGAGGCAGGAAGATGGTTGACATCGGCGGTCAAGGCATTGCCGAAGTCAAAGTCAGCTGGGTTGAAGTCTGGCAGAGTGTTGTCTGTCGCCTTGCCGGCTGGACCAGAGGCAGGAAGATGGTTGACATCGGCGGTCAAGGCATTGCCGAAGTCAACGTCAGCTGGGTTGAAGTCTGGCAGAGTGTTGTCTGTCGCCTTGCCGGCTGGACCGGAGGCAGGAAGACGGTTGACATCGGCGGTCAAGGCATCACCGAAGTCAAAGTCGGCCGGGTTGAAGTCTAGCAGAGTTGCACCCATGCCAGTGTCGGCTTGACCAGAGGTGGGAAGATGGTTGATATCGGCGCCCAAGGCATCACCGAAGTCGAAGTTGTCAAGGTTGAAGTCTGGCAGAGTGTTTCCCATGGCGTTGTCGGCTTGACCAGAGGTAGGAAGATGGCTGGCATTGGAGGTCATGGCATTACCGAAGTCAAAGTTGTCAAGGTTGACCTCTGGGAGGGTGTTTCCCATGGCGGTGTCGGCTTCACCAGCTGGATTTGGGAAAGCCTGAAGGTTGTTGAGATCCAAGTTCATCGCATCGGGATTGGGGGCCAGGTTGAAGCCGAGCGAGTTGGGGTCTTCTGCAGTAGTCATGATTGTGTTCGTTGGACCAGCTGGATTTGGGAAAGCCTGAAGGTTGTTGAGATCCAAGTTCATCGCATCGGGATTGGGGGCCAGGTCGAAGCCGAGCGAGTTGGGATCTTCTGGAGTAGTCATGATTGTGTTCGCTGGACCAGCTGAATCTGGGAAGGTCAGAGGCTGTTCGGGATTGAAATCCATGACATTCGGATCGACGTTGCCTAAAAGATTGATTAGTACGTGGAATCATCATGAGAGTTTGTGGCTTGACTTGCCAACGCCGGCGGCTTGCGTAGCCTCCCACGTCTCGATACCTTGACGGAGTTCATTCACCGTCTCGACCAGCTCAGCGTAGTTCGGCGAATCCTCCGAGAGCACCGGACCGAACGCAGGAAGACCCTTGTTATTGCGGAGAGACCACAGCGGGAAGAACTGGCAGCGGGACACGAGGGTGTAGAATTCCAACAAGATGTTCTGCCGGACTGCGTGCACTGGGCCTGGCTGGGGCAGGCTTGGAGAAGAGGCCGAGTTGGGCGGCGTCGGGAATTCTGGAGGGAAGAGGATACATTAGCAGGCAGGATGGGACGTGAATATGGGGACCAAGCGCGTACTGGATTTGCCAAGAACCTTCTTCGTGGAGCTGAAGTTGGAATGGTTGGAAAAACCTGGCATGGTAGACGGGCCTGCAACGACGATTTCTGGTGAGGTTGTAAGCACTTCGATGCTTAGAAGCAGCGTTCAGCAATTGCGTACCGTCATCACTCTCTGGGTCAGAGATCCTGCCCTCCGCCTGATCTTCGTCGGCATCAGAAGAATGGCCATTAGACCTAGATTCCATGTCGGAATCCATGTCAAAGTCGGTCGATACCTCATCAGACATGGAGTCCTGGCGTTTGTTGAACATGGTCATGGCGACTGCAGCTGCGACGACCTCTTTACCGCAGCCCTGCTCGCGCGCGATCAGTCTCTGAATGCCGCGTAGCTTCATCTTCAAATTGATGATGGCGAGATCGAGCCAAGGGCCTCTCTTGCCCTTGGGCTTGTGGTATTGCTTGAACTTGGACAAGTCGATGCCTCCAACACGTTGCCCATAGGACAGGGTGGTATTGTATTGGCGAGAGATCCTGTTGAGTGCGGCATGCTTTTCTTTGTTCGCCTTCTTCGACGTGAGTGTAGACATTGGGAATGATACCTCGCTTCGTTCACAAACAGTACAAGATTAGCAGACACGAGGCGAGAGGTGGAGACTCAAGGTCAGCGGACACTCAAGATCAGAGGAGACTGAAGACCAGAGAGATAATGAGAGAAGCCAGAGATCAGCACTATACCTCTGCGTTCAAAGGCAGCGTGGCGGTGAGTGGCCTGGTCGAGCTGCAAGGAAATAGTTGTACCAATGTGCGAGGAAAGAGTTGTCCCAATTTAGGAGGAAATAGTTTTCCTATTCAGGAAGAAATAGTTGTCCCAATTTCCCTCGTCTCAAGATGAGACATGGAAAAGATGGCCCAGCGATGCAGTGGCGTAGAGGATGGTGATTTTCGCGAAGGGCCGAGACACGCTGCACTGGACCGGCAGCTGGGAGCTGGCAACGAGCATAGGCGTATGTATGGCACGACGTGGGTAGGCAGAGAGCGCTTTGGTGTCCATGGGATGAGAAATGCTTCCATGGCTGTCGAGCGTGACAGCCGAGACGAGTTGCGAGGCCGAAGATGCGAGTTCTAGATGTAGCATGGTATGAGATGGGATAGGATGGGATGGGATGGGATAGGATGTGGTGGTGATGGTGGTGGTAGTGGTGGTGGTGGTGATGGTGATGGCGATGGTGATGGCGATGGCGTGTCCGGCAAGCCAACACGCGACAACGCGACCAGAAAAGGGCGTGGCGTGGTGCGGAGTTCGTTCCGTGCAGGGGTCGTATGCAGTCCCAGCAGCGCGGGACTCTGCCTGCAGCGGCAGCTGGCAGCATTAAAGATATGGTGGATGCAGGCAAAAGAGAGAAAGACCGCGGAGTTCTCAAGAAGGCCGTGGAGTCTTTTTGGAAGAAAGAGGGAGAAGAAAGAAGGGAGAAAGAACGGAGAACGAAGCCAAGAATGCAAGCGTGCCAAGCTGCCAACCGGATCGATCTGCCTGCCGAAGATAAGCGACAAACGTCTGCGAACTGGTAACCCAAAACGCCCAGAATGCCCAGATCACCCAGATCGCCACCATCTCACCAAAATCCCACGGCATTTGTTTCCCACGGTACGAGGAGCATATCAAAAATGGCTGGCAAGTATTGGAATTCACTTCTTTGTATGACTGTCACAAGGACTCGAGCCAGGAACTATGCCTGTTGACGATCGAAAAAGCGAACGTGTGGCTGAAGGGACTAGAACTCCAAAGCGTCGTGGCAAGAAATTGAAGAATGCCGTTGCGGCTGGCAAAAGGCAGAAGATCACGAAGCCCAAAGACAAAGCCAAAGCCAAAGCTAAGGTATACCAACACCCACACACCCGCCCACCAGGCAAGATCCACTAACACTCCCTCTCCAGTCCACCGGGCGCGTGGTGACAGAAGAAACACTCATAGGCCGACAAGAACGCCGTCGCATGCGCAGCCTGCAAGAATCCATCGACCACGCCTACGAAGACTACACCGAGCTTCTGGGAATTGTTCGTGCTCGTGGCTTGGCCAAAGACCACCACCCACTTCCCGATCCCGAAAGTTTTCATCGCCCGAAGAGTGGACCGTGGAGGCAGAAGTATTTGGATCGTGTGACTGAGGCGGTTGGCTTTTTGAGGGAGGCGGTGAAGTCTCAGGAGGAGAGGAAAGGGGAGGGCGAGTGAGCGAGGAGGGCGGCGATGATGAGATGGACATGATGGTGTGAAGGTCAGACTGGGTGTGCTTAGCGGAGTAGAGGTTGTTGGTGTGCACAGACAGAATTTGTAGGAGCGCACAGGCAAAGCTGGGGCAAGAAGACTCGCATGAACACTCTCGTGTGTAAAATCCGCGTTCATTCATCCGCAATTCGTCGCAATACAGGCTACCATCGCCCCACATCATCTTCTGTCATGCTATGGAGAGCCTCCAATGCCGTCCCTCACCGGACTTCCATGCGGGCCAAATGAGCGGGAATCCTGCTTCTCCTGCTTCGGATCCTCGGTGGCTTGTTCCTGATTGACGAGAGGTTCCTGGTCGCCCTCTTGTATGCTGGGCTCGTCTTGCTGGTGTTCAGAGTGTGATCCTGCTGTGGACCGACCTCAGCTTGTGCTTGGCGATTAGGGTGGATTGGAGTCAGGACCTGCGAGTTCGGTGTTCGACGTTCCTCCTCCTTGGCGAGCTCCTCCTCGATGCGCGTCTTCTTGGGCATGGAGAGGATGTCTAGGCCGAGAATTGCACTCCTCCTGCTCCAAGCCATTGAGCTCGGCCTCCTCCTTGGCCAGCTCCTGGGTGCGCATCTTCTTGCGCATGTAGACTCCAAGCCGAGAATCCCACTCCTCCTCCTCCTCCTCCCAGCCATTGAGCTCGGCCTCCTCCGTGGGCTCCTCGGTGCGCATCTTCTTGCGCATGAAGGGTGTGCCCAAGGAACGAGCGCCATGCTCCTGCTGCCTCATGCCATTGAGCTCGGCCTCCTCCGTGGGCTCCTCGGTGCGCATCTTCTTGCGCATGAAGGGTGTGCCCAAGGAACGAGCGCCATGCTCCTGCTGCCTCAAGCCATTGAGCTTGGCCTCCTCCTTGTCGAGCTCATCCTCAATGCGCATCTGCTTGCGTAGGGTGTCCAAGCCGAGAATCCCACTCCTCCTGCTTCAAGCCATTGAGCATGGCTTCCTCGATGCGTGTCTTGTTAACCATGGAGAGGGTGTCCAAGCAGCGATCGACACGCTCTTCCTGAAGCGCAAGCTTCTCCCTTGCGAGCTCCTTCTCCTCAGTGCGCATCTTGTTGGACATAGAGAGGCTGTCCAACCCGTTGACCTGGGAATCATCCTCCTTGGCGAGCTCTTCCTCAATGCGAAACTTCTTGAGTGTGGAGAGGGTGTCCGCATGCGACATACTCCTCGTTGAGCGCGGTGGCGGTATCGAGTTGGCGTTCATCTGAATGTGCATCGTCTTCAAGATGGAGAGGGTCAAGCGGCGAGGGACATGCTTGTCATTGAGCGCAATGGCGGGATCGAGTTTGGCGTTCATGTCGATGTGCGTCGTCTTCGGCGTGGAGAGGGAGAAGCGGCGAGCGACATGCGCCTCATTCCGTGCAATGGCGGGATCGATTTTGGCGTTCATCTGGATGACCCCAACCAAACTATGGAGAGAGTGCCCAACCAGCGAGTGATATGCTCTTCCTTCAGCGCAATGGCGGCATCCGGATTGGCGTTCATCTCAATGCGCAAATGTGCAAGCAGCGCGCGCGACGCTTCTCCTTGAGCGCAACAGCGGCTTCGAGCTTGTCTATGCAGCAAGCACCACACTCTTCCTTGAGCGCAACAGCGGCATCGAGCCTGGCGCTCATCTCAATGTGCTTGGCTGCAAGAACCTCCTTCGGCTGCCATCCCCTGGAGCATAGTGTCCATCTCCTCGAGTGAATCCCAGGTCTCGGCGGCCTCCGCCTCGGCCTCGAATGTGAGAGATGTGCTTTGATAGCTGGTAATTGCGATGTAGAAATGTCCGAGTCCGAGTCGAGTCGTTGTGGGGTTCGTGGTGGTGTTGTAGCAGGAAGCATAAATTTGTGGTAGAAAGCGGCGATGTGCGGAGGTGCGCGGAGGTGCCTTGGAGCAGAGCCTCAGCGGCGTTGTACGGAGGTGTGCGGAGGTGCCTTAGAGCAGAGCCTCAGCGGCGTTGTGCGGAGGTGCCTGAGCGGACTCGGGCGGGCGAGGCGGGAAGCGGCCTGTTCCGACCCCGCCAAAGTCTGAATCCAACCATGCGGAAGCGAACTTCCGGATTCGGACAACAATAGCAAGAGTCTTGTGCTTGCAAAAGCTGCATACGTTTCCTGCGTTTGTTTACCAAAAACATCACAAAGAAACCTCGAAGACTCGACCACACTGCACAACCCGCGACACAAACTGCACAAGCTGCGACACATACTGCACAATGGAGTCGCGACGGATAGTGCAGCGTCAGCTGGATGCGCAGCTCGGTCAGTGCAGCCATCCTTGTCTGACTGCGCGGCGCCTCCCAGCGCCCGCGCGACGATCATCGACGCCGCCCTCGACTCAGCGCCAAACAAAAGGCGCGCTGCGTCGCCGAGGCTTGCACAGAGTAAGACCACCGACAGAGCTGCATCGAATTGCCGCTGCTGATGACAATGTACAGGGTACACGTCGCAAGACCGTTACCACCACTGTGCTGCTTATGCTCGCTGCCCTCGCGTTGGGTGCAGTATGCGCTCGGCTTTGGGCCTTCTTCACCCCTCCTGATCTGCATCTGCAACACCTAGAGCAGTGTCTCGTTGCATCGACAGTCGCCGCCGAGGAACACCAACCTTCCTCCGACACTCATCTGATCCCAGTCGGCCTTGCTTTGCCTCTCAGCGCCATGGCCAATACCATTGAGAGACACACTCGCGTAGGCCTGGGCTCACCATTGCCCATGGCATGGCCAGTGCAGTTGACGGATCACGAAATCTCTGCCGACAACCTTCGACATCGACACCTGGTCGCCACCAGCAAGCAGCTCCACTCTGCTCGACAAGCCGTTTTCGACAGCCCTCTCTGGGCCGACTATTGGCGTTCGCTCCACAACTCCCATCTCTTCCTCGTCAAAGCCACGCTGAAGCTGCTGCTGGCCCAGGACTATGCATCGACGTCACATCCGATCTGGCAACGAGTGCAGTGTGCATTCGCTGACTGTCCTGGGTATGATCTTGCCACAGACCCTTTCACAGCATCGATGTTTCTTTGGAACATTTCCAGCCGAATCACACTGTCGTGCGCCTCGCACCACGACATTGCTTCGCCCGTGTTCAATTCCACGCAACTCTTCCAGACCGCTCGACAGGTGAAGAAAGGTATGTTGGGTCCGATTGCCGGGCAGCTCAAGCTCATCCACTGATTTCCGACACAAGCCATTCTCTCCGACATCGACTTCATCAGCAAGTCCGAAGCGCGTCGCCTCTCGCGGTATGCTGATGTCTCGCAACCTGGCTTGGTTTCTCCGCCTCCCAAACCGCCACGCTGGCTGCCTGTGCCGGCATCTCGAACGAGGCGTAGCATACTCCTCGCGCAGCCGAAATTGGTCTATGGTGTGAGCGTTCCAAGCGCGGCCAATGCGAGAAGGATGAATGCTCTGATGTCCGCGTGGGCCGAGGCCGAATGGGCAGAGTTGCTTGCCGGAACTCTGCAAGCCATCCAGCGACAGCTGGTCCACGAATGTCAAGGGCCAATGAACCGAGTCCACGACAACCATGCTCGAATCCAAACCAGCAACGTCCAGCAAGAAGAACACGACAGTCACGGCAGAAGAAGCCGTGCCGGTGCGGCTGGCATCTTGCTCGGCTGGGCAGAGGACCTGCTCGGACTGGGACGAAGTCGAACAGCAGACCACGAAGACAAATCGGAGCCAATGGACGACACCAAACCCCATGGCAAAGACCAACACACCAATCTCCGCACATTCAACCTCTTTGACGGCCACCGCTCCCGCCCCTCGCGAAACATCCTCGACACAATCTGGCGAAACACCCTCAAACGCAGCTTCAGGCTCTGGAAGGACCAAAAAAGCGCGCCTCCTCCATCTCGACGTTCTCAGGAAAGCGCGTGGCATGCCTGTCTCTTCCCCCACAACCTCACTGACCCAACCTCGCCAAACCACAAACACAAAGCCGCTCTCCTCGCTTCTCGCGCCGTCTACGCATATTGGCATGCGGGCGCGGCGCCAGAATGGCTGACGAAGCTGAAGCCACCTGGTGACAACACCATCCCGGACGAACCTTCTCCTTTAGACCTCGAGAGCTCAGACGAAGTGGACGAGAATTCTTCTGGTGTGGAATGGCTCCTGGGGGAACGTCAGACTTTGACGCGCGCTGTGAAATGGAAGAGTGAGGATCGTATCTGCATGGGTTGGGCTGGCCTGTATCTTGTCAATGGGCGGGAGTGCGATAAGCAGTTCAGAGGTGAGGGCCGGTGGGGTGGTGTTGATTTGGATGCGGGGATTTTGTAGGAGGGGATGGACAAGACGGAGAGAGGATAGGGCAAGGAGGATAGGCAAAGCAGGATTGGGAAAGGAGGACAGGGAAAGGAGAGAAAAAAATGTACGAATAGAACCTCTTGTCGCATCGGCCATTCTTCAACGCTGGATTCCATAGTTTGCAGTGAATCCGATGACTGATTTTCATTCACTCCCGCTCTAATAAGTGACGCCGCTGTGAAATTCATGAAGCAGTGGATGATGAATGGAGTCAAATAGATCCTTGCTCGTGGAGAGAGGGTATGTAGTACGTCCACGCCAGTTTTTTGGGATGTCGAGTTCTGCAGAAGATGAAGTGGTGCCTCCAGCCAGGTTTTACATCATGGAGTCAACCGAGAGGACGGGCATTGGGACCTTCTTCCTCCCCAGAAATGAGAACCCAGACTTGCCAAACAAACGCTCCATGGGATCGACGTACTGCTGGGCCGTGCCAGTTGCCAGTGACTGGATCCTTGACGACTGATGATAGAGAAGACCTGCCAAAATCAGCCCAATCTGACCTCAGCTGTTCTGGAGCAAGCGTCTCACGCAGCGTGGCACGCGCATGGCCTTACGCATATCCATGACCAGAGCTTATGCCTGCTACCTGCATGCCCTATGCCATCATGGTTCTTGCCCACCACGGAACAGCTTCATATTCACTGGCTTGCGACTCTTCAACTCTGGGCTCGATCTCGGAGAGCTGTCCTTTGACCTTCGTCAACTCTTTACGCACTCCGGCGAAGATTCCACGCCTTCGAATTGTGCCTTGACTGATCTTGACAACTGTAGACTGAAGTGTGTCGGCGTCGCTGAAGCTTGAAGGACAGTTGTCGCATAGGTCCGCGAGTCATTGGGGTCGGCTTTGTCGTAGCGGCACTCTCGTTTTGGTCTGGGAATGTCGAACTGATACTGCTAATGTGTCCAAGGAGCTGTGAAAGGGATGTGGGTGTATGTGATAAGAATTTGGACTATGTGAACTCAAATTGACCTCCGACTGTGAGTACCTACTCTCGCGCGCCGGCTCTACCATTCTTCTCGCTACGATGTATTCTCCGTACGATGCTTTGCTCTTCTTCATAGCACTGTCTGCTGCAGTTATGGAGCCTACGTGTGCAAATGTCGTTCAATCTTGCGGAGTTGCGGGGGTCTTGCGGCTTGGCCGAGCCGCGGCGAAAGGGCCCAAGACCTCTCGACCCAGGCATGTACCTCACGTCCATACCTAAAGCAACCTCACAATCAATATCGGAGCCCTTCAAATCTATCGAGCGCGGGCTCTTCCAAGCTTGCGGCGTCCTTTATGAAGGCGATAGTACGAAGTATGATGAACAGAAATGGCCAGCAACACAAGTTCGCCCCGCATGAAGAGCGTCGGAGACAGCTCCGACCCAATCGGCCCACGCCCAAACTTCAAAGCAAGTTTGTTTTGTGTTCCTTTACATCTTCCGCTAGGCTCTCGCACCATTTTCCAGCCATATCCACGGTTCCTTCGATTATAGCAGCACGCCGAGACTCTAGCGCCACCTCTTCTACAGACATCCTCGAGTCAACTACGATACCTTGCTCAGCGGCAATCAATGCGCGGCCGAGTCTTCAGCGATCTGCGCGGATGAATCACCCATGCAATGACAGGCGGAGAAGTCGACCCCTGAAAGTGTGGCGCAATAACGAAGGGTGATGGTTGGCGGGTTTATGCTGGTCATAACCATAATGCGCTTCGGAGGAGCCCTGGCGCTACATCACCGTCTGGTGTTGGCTGACAGGAGAAGACTAGCAGTGGGCGAGAACTTCACATGGCCGCTTCACAATCCCGCGCTGATCAAGAGCAGGCAACGAGAAGAGGGCACAGGAGCAAGCATGGCTGTTGGCGAGCATCCTTCATGTGGGCGCTTCACAGTCCCGCGCTGGTCAAGAGCAAGCAACGAGAGGAGAGCACAGGAGCACGCATGGCAGCAGGCGAGCACCCTTCATATGGGCGCTTCACAATCCCGCGCTTGTTAGGAGCAAGCAACGAGAAGAGAGCGCAAGAGCAAGCACGGCCAGGTGACATGCATGCGTGTAGCGTGCACGTCGCATCGCGCACACGGGAAGCGGCATGTTGCCGAGCTTCGAGTCCTGGCTTCGAGGCATACCGCTCTGAAACGGACATGTGGCTGATGAACAAGCTCCCAGGCCTGGAACGGCTGCGGACAGCTTCCAACTTGATGTGAAGAGGCAGAGACGCTCCTCTCGCTGGAAGTATCCATGCTTTCGAGGGTAGGGGTATAGGTTTACTGGGCTTGCTCAACACCAATGCGGGCAGTGGCCAAAGTGCTTTGCTGTAGGCGAAGGTCAAGCTACCGGCATTCATGAACAGCATATTCACTTCTCACCTTTCCCATGTTTCTGCCATTGTCACATTCTCAAAATTGACTGACCAAGATGTAGATGAGATGGCCGGAGATGATGATAGGAGAGTCGCCAACGACAACATAATGCTTACCACTGCCGCCTAAGCCGCAGACAGCAATCCTGTGCTGGGAGACAACGACAACAGCAGCTACGGCATAAGCGAGCATCAATGGCCAGACTCCAGACGGGAATTCTGTACTAGGAGACGACGACAAAAGCAGCCACGACATAATCGAGCTTCAATGGCCAGACTGCAGGCGGCAATCGTATGCTGGGAGACGGCGACAAAGGCAGCTACGGCATAAGCGAGCATCAATAGCCAGACTGTAGACGGCAATCCTGATTCTGGCGTCGGCGACCGGCATGGCTACCTGACTATCCACACCATCGGAATCACCTCCATGCCTGCTGTTCTCTTCATGTGAACGATCCCAGGGATTTCAAGCCCAGGACCTGCTCGTCAAGGCGTTGGTGGAAGGTGAAATATTGGTGATTCCTGGAGCACTCGACGCTGTGCTTGATCAGTTTGATGCGTCGCTCTTGGCTTGCCAGTGAGTGGTTTGTCCTCAACTCTCGTGGAATCCGGAGTGGTCCTGCTGGGCTGAAGAACACGTTTTCTAGCACGGCCGCGGCTGTCTTCGTTGCGGCGGAGGATTCCATAATCGCTACGCTCCCGCATCTTCACCTAGAGCCACGATCAACCCTGCGAGGATCATTTCTTTCTAGGCCAGACAGCTGGTCACCAAGGCACGTCCATCTCGAATGACTCCCGTCTTTATCAATTATCAAGCGTGCTATACGAAGTCATTTCGAAACTCCTCGGTGTTTTTTTCACAGTTGTTATAATCGGGTTCACCAGCTCTTCTCCGTCCGTTGGGGATGTTTGAAGAACTGGGGAAGCATTCAGGTTGAATTGCTCTGCTAATCTGTGAAAGACAGCCTTACGGCTTCGCGGCGTGCACTCAAGCCCGATGCTCATGCAGAGTTTGGCCGTTCCGGCCACGCTTCCATGCAAACATCTTTTGGCACCAAGTGCAATGGGAAGGCTTGTGATCCCGCTGGATGGATTGGCAGGTAAGCTAAGGAAGAGCGTGGAATGACAGGCGGAGAGAGGGGATTCTACAGATTTGACTAGCATTGTCGATCATGATGCCTACACCTGGTCGTTGGCCTTGTGGGACGCTGTTCTGGAGATATGGCGATGCAGACATCCGCCACTCAGTGAAGGAATCGGAGAGCTTTGGGGCGCTACTTGACCTTTGGGCAAGCTGCGTTGCGTATTGGGAGAGCAGCTGCGCGGAGAGATATGCAGGATGGGTTTTCCAGAGATGGAGTCGTGAAGGAAGATGTGGTGGTGCAATGCATACTGGCATTGCAGGCGCCTGCGAGTTTGGCATCAGGACGTGGACGTGCAAAGAGCAAAATGCCAAGCTGCGGGTCGGGTGCTTCCGGCTCATCCCAGCCAAGGAACGCCGAATCGCCTTCCTGTGATCCTCTCTCTATGCCCAGCGCCATCGACAGCATTGTGTGCCGCCTTCAACACGACATCCAACTTTTCCACGAACACCAGGAGCTCTTGGCGGGACGTTCCATCGGCGTGTCGGCAGCAGGCCTGCAATGTCTTGGAGAGCGCCAGCTACATTTGCCCAGATACTTCCCATCACGGCGACATGAGAATGCATCCGCTATGGTAGGCGTTGCTGATGATGTGCTGGTCACCGCGTAGGAGCTCGGGTCGGCGGAAAATGTTGTCGACCATCGAGACGATTACGATGAATATCAGCATCCAGGCACCTCGGACGCATGTTCTCTGCAAGATTCCGCATAGGTTGGCCCGCTTTCTCCAGCACCGCCTCGATTTCGTCCTCACTCTCGTCCATCAGGCATTTCTCCATCACCTGCATGTCTCGGATCCAGCCTGGGCTAGACATGGCGTCGATTCGTGGCGTCGGTGGGCTGCAGATGAGACTCGACACACGGTCAGAAACAGGCGATGGGTGCGTGGACTTCAGGCTTTTGTCAGGTACCTCGGTGTACTACGATGTGGGATGGTGTTCTGGCTATCGTGGAAGCGTCTGGATATGAAAATATGGGGCGACAAAGAGCTTGGTCAATGGGAGAGACACAGAGCGCGCTCGTTCGCTGCGCTGCAGCTACCTGTTCGTAGAGCGAAAATCCCACCATGGCTCACGCCTATTATTCACACTTTCATATCCCGTCATGGAGCGCCGGGAAATCGCGGTGGCACAATTGGGACCAGCACTTCAACCTCAAAATGTCGTGATCCGCAAGGGCAGCGCCGAAGGATACTCAAGGCATGATCTTTGCCGATTGTGCTTTCGTTACGACGACATACTCTCCCTGCGAAATGACGCGACACGAGTCGAATTGGACATGGTTGTGGCCCTGTTTGGATGGCCTACCCGCTGAACGCTCACCAGCTACCCAAGCACCACATCCTGCTCTATATTACCCAAGCGTGGGGAATGTAATGGCAGCGTCTATGGGCGAAGAGTAGTATCAAGCTGCACTGCACATCAAACATAAGAGCTCTTACACCTTTGTGAGCACTCACAATCTCATTACGACATTACCACAGCCTCATTACAGCTTCTACAGTTCAAACCATGAACGCTGCAAGACGCCGCGAATGGATCCATCCCACGGCCTCGCGCGCAAGTGAGTATCCTCGGGCCAAGGCAGATGATACAATGGCGGCATTTACTCAGGCCCTCGTCGCCTATACCTACGCCAAAAACTGGCCAATACACGACTTCATTACGAACTTACTGAAGGCTCATCACAACTCTTCCGGCCTATACTATAGACGTTGCAAGACGCCGCAGATCCTTCCAGCAGCCTCGCAAGCAAGTGAGTATCCTCAAGCCAAGGCAGATGATATGATATCGGCATGTTTTGAGCACAGTCGCCCACATCACGCCCAAAACTGACCAAAACATTCGTGCGAGTGGTGGCATTACCGACCACAAACTCACCGTTTCACCTCCCCATTTCGCAGACGATTTCCAGACCCCTACGTGGCACGCCACCTCGCCGACCTTCGGAGCCAGCGAAGTGAGACGGCGAATTGAGGTGATCTTGAGGCACAAAGCCGAGCTGCAGCTGCAGGAGAGGTCTACGGATGTGCAGTCATGATCCTTCGGCCGGGAACCGAAGCTTTCCCTCTCTCGAGCATGTTCGTGCTGCCTGGTCTGAGTTTTCGGAGACGGGAATCATCACTCCTTGGCTTTCCGAATAAGCAAATGATGAACTTCGGAATCCGACATCATTGGTCTCGAATATGCCGAGCTCGCACAGTGGCTGCTTGTTCAATTTCAGTCGTCAAACACATGCTGCAGCCTGTTTGTCAGACTTCCTATGCGAGAAAGAGCGACGTTCACGAATGGCAAACGGAATAATCGTGCCTTGGCGACGCACAGCGGGACTGGGCCGAGTACGGCCTACACCTTGTCGGGTTCAGATTCAGAGACACGAGCACCAACAACGAGATGAAAAACTCCTACGAGGGAACATTTTATTACAGCATTCGATTCCTGGCTCGAAGGCGAGTTCGCTGATATGCCTACCGCCAGCCGGCCACGCAGGTCGAGGATCATACACTCTGTGGCATTCCTCAGCATAGGGAAGCACCACGGCAAAGCTGGCTGATGGTGTTCGTTGGGCGAACTTGAAGCCATGTCCCTTTTCCTTTCACCCCAAATTGGAGCGACCTCTTCCTATTCCATCATCGTCATCCTCTCTGGTGTCGATCGCCTCGCTTCTCGATCCGCAGCCAACAGGCCTTCGCCCTGGGTTGGATCTTGTTCGGCAGACAACTTAGACTGTGGGCGTGGTATCCCATCGATGTAGTCTGGCGAGATTTGGGCCATGACCTGTGAACAGCGTCCAGATGCTCTATCGGAGCAGGCTTTCCAGTTGTTACTTTCTGATTTGGAAGCTTAGATGGGATGCAATGACGGGCAGCAGCAGTATAAGACTTCGATTCGGCAGCGTTTTCATCGGAGGGTGTGGCGGCAATTCATCATCTGGAGACGTGTTACCAAATCAGTGCCAGGATCACAGCGAAAGCTAATCGTAACGAGGAATGACACCTGCGATGGGGTATCAGCACTAGAAAACGGGGTGGAACGAGCATCGTAATGAAGTACAACATCAGCAGCATTCCCGACAACACAAGCGGGCCCAAGAACGGCAATCTCATGCGCACGAACAAAAAGCAGCCCAGGCTCGCCATCACACCTAACATCCCCATTACACGCACAACCGAGGAGAAGGAGACGGAGGAGGTTGCGAGCACCAACAAAATCGGGGCGGCGGAGCAGAAGAGGAGGAGGGAGGAGAAGGAGACGTTGGCTCAGAAGGCGCAGATGGGCTCGAAGAAGCTGGAGCTGTTCGACTCTACGAAGGCGTCCAGCATAGAGATCAAAGGTTCTCCTCGTTGGGTCGATCAAGTTGCACCAGAACGGGCAGTTGAATACAGGCAGGGACGTAGGCGCAGAGCAGAACGAGCCCGACTAGTCGAAGGAGCAGCGAGACTATACTAGAGCCATGAGCTCGATCATGTTGAGCATCCAGTCCGTCACCGACACCATGCGCAGCCCCATAGACAAGGCGGTGGAGTACGTCGCGAGGAACCCAGGCGGCTCGATCGTCGCTACAGAGAAGGGCTACGTCTCGGAGTTGGATCCCAACACTGGCTGCATCGGCACCAGCCAGTCGAGGAACGACATCACCGGGACCCTACATGGATGCAGTCATCACTGACAAGAGTGCGAGGTGAATGCTCAGCCAGTGGACCTCGGAGTAGGTCGTGATCGAGGGCGTGGCGCCGGATGTGCTCATGAAATAGAACTGGAACGGAGTCTCGATGACCCGACAATCTTGGTTGATTCCCATAGCTCATGGAGGCATCGAACAATGCATGGCACTATACAGGCTCCCAAGCTGGATGTTGGCAGAGGCCATCACACGAATACGGTGTTGTATCTTACTGCTGATGCGAGCCCATACGTCAATCCCTGGACTGATGTCTGCTTCAAGGACTTGTCTCACGCACAACAGCTACAGGGCTTCTTCGACTATGATTCGTTCAGTATAGGCTCGGCGACGTCTCAAGTGTCAGGCAACACCATGGCATGAGTGTGTATTAGGAGAGGAGAATGCGTACAACGTAAGTGGTTCTTCACAGATCATTGACGGTAAGCTCGGCAGCCTCTCTGCAGGTGCAGAGCATGTAAAGACCCACCAAAATGGACTCGACTTTCGCTCGTAGTAGTGTCGGCTGTTGTCTTCTTCTCAATATGAGCATCCCGACGAGTTCCACACCATCACAGGGGGATTTGATCAGCCAAACTCCAAAAGGCAGGCATCGAATCGATACAGGCAGCGAGGGACGCTGGTCAGAAAAGGTTATGAGAATTTTTCGAGACCATCCGAATCTGCGCAACGGCGGATGGGCAGCTCACGTCGTTGGTGGAAGCCCTCGCGATTGAGGCATAGTCTGAGCCTGAGCCTCAGCCTAGGAGAAGCCGCCGCAGCGCACGCAGGACGCCATCAACAAGCACGAGTGCCATTTCTCAATGCCGATGAGCCATTTCATTTTCTCTCACCCTGCTACGACAGAGGGTGTGCGCAAGGTTTGGTTGATCTGACGAAGCAGATTTCTTCTTCAACACTGACAGGCAACCAGCAGCGGCACATTGGCTGCATCACCAGATGCCTGTAGCGAAAGTTTCTTTCGCGGCCCCAATGTGCCAGGGTGTCTCTCCCGGTAATTGGACTCTTCCGCAGCATATCGACTCATCATCTGGGACTTGCTTGGCCCGGACAGCAATGCTTTTGCTCCCACTAGGATTTCTTCGGAAGGGATGTGCCCGCAAATCATGAACGAGAACCTAGCAAGCCGAGAAACGATGGAGAAGCTACCCAACATTTCCGCTCTCCCCCGTACGACATTGTATGCTGCAGACTATGTGCTACTGGCGTTCAACCAGACACGGAGGTGAAACCTTCTACTTGGAATGCAGTGTTGGAGCTTATGGATCGCTTCCTCGGATTGTGGCTCTTTGAGCACCTTCCTGGTCGATACCGCGTCCCATCCTCCCCTCCCATAGAAGCAGCATCGGCATAGCTCGCCGGCGGCTGGCCACTGAGTACATGGCATCTCCACCACCCCGAGAGCAGCGAGAGCGACGACCCCGAGGGCTGAGCCTCGATGACCTTTACATCAACCTCGTAGAGCTTGTTGCGTGTGCCTCGAAGATCTCACTAGAAATACCCGCTGGCAGATTCGCAATCACTTCTTCACTTCCCAGTACTCAATCTGCTGCCTTGGACCTACAGCATTCTATTCCAAACGGCCACCCATTGCGAAGCTACCCCATGCGCTGTTCCTTGGCTCCTCCGGCCCTTTTCGAATTCTGCGAGCTCCTTTCAGTTCCCCATCGCGACACCACTACTACCCATGCCCTTATTCTTGACTCCTCCGGCCTTTTTCAACTCTGCGAGGTCTTTGTGGATGAGTTTCAGCTTCCCATGGCGACACGACCTAGGGAAGCTGAGGGTGAATCGATGCCGCGGCTGCGCTAACAGGTGCGGCGAGAGAGGCGAGTCTTGGTGGGTGGTTCGTTTTCTTGCTGTTCTTTGCGGAGGCCGCGGCGAGTGTCAGGCTACTTCCTGTTAGCTCAAGTGCGTGATGCGGCACAGAATGCCGCAGCTCCGAATTCGTGGCAGCATCGGTTCCGGCCTCTATATTGGGAGCGAAGTTTGGAGGGAAGGATAGTTAGGGCAAGAAAGATGTTCGAATGTAGACGTGGACGAGATTGAGCCTTCAAGTGACAGGCACGCTTGGGCGTAGGGGGGTGGTTTTGACTAGCTCGAAAGCGTCGAGACCTTACTGCCGGAGAAGGTACCTCCTCGCCATTTTGAACGCGCTTATTATTGGGTCCTCCCGCGTTTCTGCCTAACTTTCAGCCTTTAATCGATGCTCGGAAGCGCTCGCTCGATCTCCTATATTACTAGAGCCTATTCGATAACGTCTAGCTAGCGATTCGTAAGGGCCGGAAGGTAGCACAATATAGGTCTAAACCTTTTCGCCGCTCGCGTATATCTACTATTAGCCTAATAACGCCGACTAGAGTCTTATACTAGAGCTTCTAGACCTAGGTATTATTAAAAATAGCGATACTAAGGGCTAGTTAAAAGCTCGTATTAGGCCTTTCTATACACTAGGCTAGCGTATTCTAAAGCGTTACGATCTTACATTTGCTTAATAAGCTTTACGATATCGATTAAAGTCTACTAATAGACCCGTTTAACCTATACGTTATTTACTATAGCTATTTAATTACCTATCTACTAGAACTTATCTAGAAGCTCGGGCTACCATTTTCTATATACTAGGCGAGTATATCTTAAAGGCGGTATAATATAGCGCTATGTCTTCTCGTAAATTTGCTTTATAACCTTTACGACTACGATTAATGCCGAGAGACCGGTTAGAATTATAGATTATTTATTAGGGCGCTTCGATTGCCTATCTCCTAGAGCTTATCTAGAAGCCCTTCTATATACTACTCGAGTATATTCTAACGGCGTTACGAATTCGATTAAAGTATATAAGTTGACTTATCCGATCTAGGTATTATTCTATATAGCGCCTTAATTGCCTATCTACTTAAGCTTTTCTTAAACGTCGATTTTAATACTATTCCTCCTTTTTAGTAGATACATTAGCGTACTCTAGAGGTTCTAGAGTCGAAAGTAGGCAGATAATCTTAGTATACTATAGACCGATATACTCGACGTAATATAGTACTTTATATCGGTATATTAAACCTACTAGAGTCTAGCGTTAATAACGTCCTTCCTAGAGCTAAGCTACGTAACTTACTAGATCTAATTAATAATAGCTTCGTAATACTACTTATTAGATTACTATAGCCCGCTAGATACTATTTCCTATCTTCTCTTAAGTAACTATAGCTCTTATATTAGTATCGTATATGCCTAAAGTTAGATTCTTTACTTAGCTATCCGATACTACTATTCTAGGAGTACTTACTACTCGCCTAGGACCTAGTAAATTTCCTTAGACCTTAAGCGTTCCGACTATAGTTAGAACTTTTATAATCGCTTATTATACCGAGTCTATACTAGAGCTAAGTCTCTATAACCGACCTTAGATCCGTACTTCTTTAACGACTTCTTCGGAGTGTTTACCTACTATACTAGCTTAATTTATTAGTCTCTCCGGAAGCCTAAAGTTAAGAAGGAACTTATTAAAGGTTATACTATAGCGCTACTATGTTTTTTACGACGTCCTACTACGATTTCTCTACCTCCTAGACCTTCCTAATAGCTTCTATATACTCTATAGTATCTATACTAGCCTTAACGTACTTTAATATATAGCTACCTTTAGATTATATTATAGAGTTACCTTTTCTATATTAAGGCTATATATAGTGCGTTTAATTACTCTATTACTATATTATAGGCTATCTAACTACGGTCGTTATAGTTATAGTAGTTACTCGAGGCCGAATTAGTATCCCTACGAGGCTAGAATCTACGCGTAAGAATAGCTACTAGTAATTGCCTACCGCTACCTACCGAGCGATTATTAGGAGCTATCCCCCTCGCGATTTATCTCTAATCTAGCCTCTACGCCTATCTATCGTATTACTACCCTATTCCCGAGTTTTAGGATAGAGAATTTAGAATATAGGCTTCTACTAATCTCCGGTTATCTAGTATCAGAATACTATAGACTATACTTAGTATCTTCGAAGACTTTAGCGATTTATAAAAGTTCGTATATATATCTAGATCTAAATCTCCCTATTCGTAAAGGGAGAAACAATTACGCAGGTTCCGGATACCTTAAAGACTAAAGCTAAGGTAATAGTATTACTATCGAAATCTAACTATCTATAGTAGCAACTCGTATAACGTATATAGTAGGCTTATATCTTATCCCTACGATCGTTATAATCGCCGATAGAACTAAAATATCGATATCGAACTATATAGTAGGTAAGTATAGGCTACGATTAAAGCGTATCCTTATATCTTACTACCCTTTCCCGAATTACTTAATACTAACGATAAGTTCTACTTACCTCCTACTCTAACGCGAATCTAATACTTTTCTAGATAATCTTAATCCTATATAAGTAATATATAGGCTAAAGTTCTCTCCTTAGAGTATAATATATCTCCTAGCAACCTTAAAGTTTAGGAATTGTTATACGAAGTGCCTTAAAAGTTAGGGAAATATTCGATACTATTTCTAATTTAGCCGCTACTTTAAAGCAACTATAGAAAGCTCTTTATAAGGTCCTTCCTCGCGGTAATCTTTATCTATTTTCGTATCCTAGTATAAAAGTAAAGCAAGTCTAGCTATTATAGTATAACTACGTAAGCTAGTTCGTATATACCTTTAATTACTATAAATACCCCGTCGTAGCTCTAAGAGGCTTTATAGAGACTTGTAATCTATTGTACCCGATTACGATCTTCTAAGGCCTAATCTGCTATAGGAAATTAATTACTATACTATACTAAAGGCGAGTCGAGGTAGACTTTAGCCTAACTTTAACTTCGGTATACTAAGTAATTCCTAGATACGCTAGCTTCTCGTATATTAACGGCTTCGTATAAGTAGGCCTATCTAGAGACAAAAAACGCTATCTTCCCGTTAGAGTAAGCTCTATCTACCGCGATTACTACGCCAATAATTAGTATAGGGGGTTTTATCTTAGGGATAAGTATAATACTACTCCGCGTTCTCTAGTTATAGCAATTCTTTCTAGCCTTAAATATATACTACGCTAACGCTATAGTAACGATACTAAACAAACTCTACTCTACTATAGTATAGTATCTACTACGTCTAAGTATTAGCAATACTTACGCAGGTTAGTAGCACTTTAGGCAATCCCTATAATGCTTATACTAGTAAGCTATTGCTACTAATATACCGACGACTTAGTTATCGTATATCGCTCTATTACCTTTAGCTTACTAGCGTTCTAAGCTTCTAATTTTTATTTAGCCGGCTATACTATAAGTATTACCTAAATATAGTAATAATCTACTACCGCTATAAATCCGTCCTCGATACTAACGCTATAGTAGCTATTAGCGACTGCGCTATAGTATTTCTAGGCTCTGTCGGCTATACTTCTAGAAGTAAGTTCGTAATTACGCTACTCTATATATATACGTACCTATTCTACTTAATCTTAATAGCCTTCTTAGCCTTTAGTTTTTAGTATTAGAAGTATTAGAAGAACCTTCGAGATTAATTAGATTTATAAGTATAAGAAGGAATTAAGCTAAAAGATTATTTACTTATAGCTTATAATTCCTAGCGCTAGGGCATATAAGGAGCTAGTTAGTCTATAGGTTAAATAGTTAAGCAATTAATAGTTAGTTTACCTATCTACTATATTATAATAGTTATAAGCCTAGATCGTATATAAAGTATTAAAACAACTCGAGAAATTACCCGATTAGGCAGTCCGGTTATATTAGCGTAACCTCTATTCGACGGTACTCTATAAAGCGAAAAAGGGACTAACTTAAGATTGTAGTAAAACACTAGTTATTACTCCGCTTTAGACGAGGGTCTATAGGTAAAGAGAACCTACTAATACGAATAAAAAGGTCTAGAACTATTATCGATACGACTACTATAAGTTAAGAAATCTAATAATAAAGATATCTACTACCGAGACGACTATCGGCGCGGTAAAGGGAGTTCCGTAACCTACTACCGAGAACTATACTATCTAGATCGATCTAATATAGGACTATCTATTAGAGTAAGTTATTTAGAAGTATAGGAACGGTATACCGGCTAGTTTAAGCTAAGATTCTGCTTAAATAAGAGCGGTAAAAGAAGACAACGTAAAAGCGGGTACGTTTATTAAATCTACGGCTAGCGATAAGCCGTATATGCCTCCTAGGACTACGAACTACTAAGGAGATAATCGATAAGATAAAGGAAGTAAGCGAGGTATCGATAAAGAAAGAGGTATCGATACTACTCTCTTATTTCTATTCCTTTAAATCCCTTAAGGGTATTAATACTACGGCTTCGACTCTTAGGTAAATCTAAACGGAGATTAAGGCCGCGGATAAAGATAAAACTCCCTTAGAGGCTTCTAAAAATATAGTCCTTATTTCGCCCTTAGGGGAAGAGTATTTGTCTACTATATTCGCCTTAAAGGCGGCCGGTTTATCTACTCTCTCCTACGTAGAACTCGTCTAACGACTACGGAACGTTAGATATAGTATTGCTAGTTTAAAAGAAGAGGAACTACTAGCCTTATATACTACGGATTTAACCTAAAGGGCGTCGAAAGATAAGGCTTTTAATAATAGAAAGCCGAAGGGCAATATAGCGAACAAGTCTAAAGGAAAGACTTATTACTATTAGTAAAAGGTCGGATACTTTAAGAGGGACTATAGGAAGTATAAAGAGGATCTAAAGAATAGGAAAGTAAAAGAGGAAACTGGGGAGGAGTCTGGGATCGCGGCTTAGACGGCTATCGACTCGACGGCTCTACTTTTAAATAAAGATTAGGTTCTCGATTTCGTATATACGGGATATATATTTAGCGATAAGGACTACTTTACGGACTATAAGGAAGAAACCGGAAAAGTTACTCTAGTAAATAGTAAAACGATAAAGGTCGTAGGATCCGATATGATCCTCGTCTAGTTTAAAGAAATTCTAACTACGATTCGGGACGTAATATATATATCCGAGATCGGTTATGTTACGGGTAAGCAACGCGTACGTAGATACTAGATATAAGACTTAATAGGTTCGATAAAGAGCTAGGTCTATCTACGTGAATCCGAATGGTTTTGTACGGTATACTAAGCGCTAAGTAGTAGGTTAGAGTCGCGTAGGCCGAATGCCTAAGGCTAGCGCTTTCTACTTAGGGCGTAGCCCTTTATATTACC